GGGGTTTGCCTTTAAAAACCGTTTCAAAGCATCAATCAGGCTACAATGCAGAGGTGCAGGCAGTGATAGATTTGCCTTGATACACCCATGTAACCTAGTTGCCAGTTTGCTTCAAAGTGCTAGTTATGACCTATAAAGCTGTACATGTTAGGGCCCAATTATTTGAGGAACTGCCTATTGCCGATACTATGTACATGGCTGATACTGGGTTTGATGCCCTCTGAGTTCCTTTAATCAGACAGTGTCATCTTGTCAAGACCCAGGATCTCCTCCTGAGATCTAGGTGGTTTCTACCCTCAGTGATGTTTCAGAGGATCTTAAAAATGAGACTGTTCTCACAGCTGGATTTGCCATTTATTCTTTATTTGTCTAACCATTTTATGAGCCACCTAAATTCAGTATGGAATCAGTCGGTGCCAAAATCAAATAAATATATATATATATATATATATATATATATATATATATATATATATATATATATATATATTGATTGATTAGCCCCTGGGCCATATCAAAGTGCAGAGTTCCAGAAACAAATCATTACAAAAGTTAGGTAAAACAATTTAAATGAAATTGGAATAACGCACGATTAAAAATGCAATTAGAATAAAATACGATCTAAAATGAAATTGGAATAAAATACAATCATTTGAGATACAATTTAAATATAATTAAAATTATATTATAATGTCACCCCTGCATCTACCCAATCAGTCTTAAAACTACTATTAAAATTACATTATTAGATCAAATGGTCTTTCCTACAATCTACCACATTCTGCTGCACCAACTTTGTCCTTTTTTCCATCAACTTTACCGCAAATTTGGCAATCCATTTCACCAACTGCAAGTTAGAACCTAACAGACAATGTTGCAAGAAGTGCTCTTTAGACTTAGGGGTGCTGGTATAAAAGATCCTGCCCAGTTGATGTTCCCTCAAATCTGAGTATAGGGGGCAATCAAAAATTACATGGGACGTTGTTTCAACTTCCCCTGTCCCACATAAACAGACTCTTTCTCTTACAGGGATACCCTTATACCTACCCCAAAGCATGTTTGTTTGAAGTTGGTCTAATCTCAATTTGGTAAAAAATCTCCTTATGACAGGAAATAAAGGCACAGTTAAATATTTTTCTATTTTAAAATTTTGTTTATTGGCTGATAACCAGGGGCAAACTTTTACTGCTATCACCTGTGCAATATCCGATTGGGCACTTATGTCCTTAAATCTCTGTGCAATCCAATTTCGGATCTGCCTATGATCGTACTGCTGCCAATTTAAAGGAATACCAGAGCTAGATACCTGCTTCAGAACTCTTGATAACCAATTATTTTTATTACTTGAGATAATCTGCTCCATTAGTGCTAATTTTGGTAACCTCCCTTCCTCCATCTCGATTATTCTTAACCAATAATAAACAGTCTTCAACAAGGCCCTAGTGCCAATCGCATGGACTCCCATTTCTGCCCTTACTACACATGCTGGGGTTCCAGGGGACACTGCCAAAATTCTCCTCAGGAACTTATTTTGAGGAGTTTCCAGCCCAGGCAACTTAACTGACCCCCATATTTCTGCCCCTCTGGATGGGGAGGAACAGGCTCAAGCTCAACCCTTCCAAGACTGAGTGGCTGTGGCTCCCGGCATCCCGATATAGTCAGTTGACTCCATCACTGACTATTGGGGGCGAGTCATTGGCCCCCACAGAGAGGGCTCGCAATCTGGGAGTCCTCCTGGATATGCAGCTGTCCTTGGAGGAACATCTGACGGCTGTAACCAGGGGGACCTTTTATCAGGTTCGCCTGATTCGCCAGTTGCGGCCCTTTCTTGATCGGGATTCCCTGTGCACAGTCACTCACGCCTCGTCACCTCTCGCCTTGACTATTGCAACGCTCTCTACATGGGGCTCCCCTTGAGGAGCACCCGGAGGCTCCAGCTGGTCCAGAACGCAGCAGCGCGGGTAGTGACGGGAGCAGCATGGCGCTCCCATGTAACACCGCTCCTGCGCGAGCTGCACTGGCTCCCAGTTGTCTTCCGGGTGCGCTTCAAGGTGTTGGTTATCACCTTTAAAGCGCTCCATGGCATAGGGCCTAGCTATCTTCGAGACCGCCTGCTGCTACCAACGACCTCCCATCGACCCGTGCGCTCCCACAGAGAGGGCCTCCTCGGGGTGCCATCAGCCAGACAATGTAGGCTGGTGACCCCCAGGGGGAGAGCCTTCTCTGTGGGGGCTCCCACTCTCTGGAATCAGCTCCCCCCAGAGATAAGGAGAATCCAAGACCTCAGTGCCTTCCGTCGCGCCCTTAAAACCCATTTATTTAAACAAGCCGGGCTGGCTTAAGATGAAATTTTTAACTGTTTTTAAATGTTTTAAACGTTTTTAATTGGCAAATGAGTTTTAATTGGGCCAAATTTATATATCTTTTAATTGTTTTTAATATTTGTTCTGCATGTTTTTTAATCTGGCTGTACACCGCCCTGAGTCCTCAGGGAGAAGGGCGGTATAGAAATCCAATATAAAATAAATAAATAAATAAAAATAAATACTGGTTCGATTTTCGCCTGGAAGACCTTTAGCACTGGGATTAATGAAGATGGAGTTTTCTCTAAAATAAGTTTGTTTAATTGAGCCATCCGAGTCATGGCCTTCCGAGCTCCGGCTTTTACCTGCTTATTCCATTTGCCATTTGTCTGAAATACTAAATAGGTAAATGACTGAACTTGTTCTATTCTTCTGTCATTTAAAACCCATCTCCTCATATTTTGTTGCCTGCTAAATATCATTACCTTTGATATCTCTATGTTAATTGTCAAGTGATTTTTTATACAATATGCTGCCAACCTCCCGAGTGACCTTCGTAGCCCCACCTGTGAGGCCGACAGCAAAATTATATCATCGGCATATAACAAGCAATTGACCTGTCTTGTTCCTATACTAGGCCCATGGAGTGATGTATCTTCCAAACATTTTGGAAGGTCATTTAAATATAAGTTGAAAAGTGTTGGGGCTAAGATGCAACCTTGTCTGACACCCTTCTTTATTGGAATTGCATTTGTTACCGATCCTGTCCTATTCACTCGAACTCTTACTTGGGTTTCCGTGTATAACAATCTAATTAGATATAACAATTTCTTTTCAATTCCCATGGCCTCTAATTTATCCCATAAAATTTGTCTATCAATTGTGTCGAAGGCTGCCTTCAAGTCTATGAATGCCACATACAGTGTTTTTTTCCAAAATTTAAACTTTGTTATTAGATGGTCCAGCACAAAACAATTATCCATAGTAGATCTTCCGCTCCTGAAACCTGACTGTTCTTCAGCTAGAATGTTATTTCTCATTATCCAGTCCTCTAATTTATGAAGCAAATGCTTAGCATAAATTTTTGCTGAAATATCGATTAGACTAATTAATCGGAAATTATCTGGGTTATCTCTAGAGCCTTTTTTATGTAAGGGGATAATTATTGATGAACGCCAACTGGCAGGAATTTGCCCTGTTCTATTGATAAAAGTAAAGAGATCCGGCAGGACAGGTGCCCACCAGGCTATGTTATCTTTAAATAACGATGCCGGGAGTGCATCCTGTCCTGGAGCTTTGTTTGTCTTCAGGGAGGAGATTAAACTCCTCACCTCCGTGATTGACACTTCTTCCCACTGGGATAAGGCTTCATATTCCGGTATCAAGCTCAGAGAGGATATAGCCTCATCAGAGCTTTCCGCTACTGCTGGAGTGGCCAAATGCTTCTCCCAACTTTCTGCACTAATGTTTGGGTCACTTATTGGTTTTCTATCTCTAATAATTTTTGAGACCTCCAACCAGAATAGTGTGGGTGAGACCAGCTTTGCTGCCTGTTCTAGGTCAGCCCATAAGTTGTCAATATAGGAGGCCTTTTTTCTCTTCAATAGCTGCTTATATTTCTGCCTTATGGTAATATACTCCTTCTGTAATTCCATGTTTGGGCTGATTAAGTATCTCCTAAGTGATTTCCTAAGCTGTTTTTTCTTTTCCTTACAGTCGTTATCAAACCATGTTGAGTAACTAGAATCAGACTGGCCCATTGGCTTGGTAGTCATGGAAAAATGCTTCAATTTATGGCATATTTCCGCAAAATATATTATAAGCTTTTGTTCACCCGTACTGTTTGAGCATATATGCGCTAAGGCTTCCATACATGGTGAATTCATGAATTCAGTCACTGCTTTGCTATCAACCCTCTTCCATGTTAGTCTTCTCTCATGGGCTATTTCTAAGTTGAAGCCTATTTGTTGAATTGTTTGATTCCTTTTCCTTAAGTCGGAAGGGATTGCCAGGGACGTCTCAATCGGAAGATGATCACTTTCTGGCCTTGGTAACGTCAAGACCGAAGTTGCCCCTGATACTAAGCTGTGAGAAACACAAAAATAATCAATAGAACTACATGCCTTAGGGCCAAAAAAAAGTTATGGGGTACCTTCTAACCTCCGAATACTGGCCTACAATTTGAAGGTTACAGTTGTATACCATTGTTAGAAATTTCCCCCCATCTTTGTTCTTTTTCCTATCTTGGGAGTCCCATGATTGTTGGTTATGTAAATATCCATCTGGAATTGTACCATTTTCAATAAAAGGTTCCAACGAGGGACCCACACGCGCGTTAAAGTCTCCTGCCAAAATTAGAGGTGTTTTTATAAATTTTTTACGTGTATCTAATGGGCTCCATGATTAATACCCTGTTTCCCCCAAAACAAGACATCCCCTGATAATAAGCCCAATCGGACTTTTGAGTGCATGGCAATAAGACCAAGAGCTTATTTCAGGGTTCAAAAACAATATAAGACAGGGTCTTATTTTCGGGGAAATACGGTAAGTAAAATAGTCTTTGCTAACACATTTGAATATACATGGAGAGACCAGCCATCTCTTTTCACTTTTGATTACTAGGAAAGTTGATTGAATAAATGCATTCTTTTTTCAGTTATAGGGATGCAATATTTTGGTAATGAAGGATGATTTTACCTGTGAACTTTCCAGCTCCGTTTGATGCCTGTATGAATTTCCAATTGGAAATTCTGTAATATTCCAATTAACAGAATCCTTCTGTTTGGATTCAGATCTTTCAAAGCAATCCCTTTACAATGTGAAAGAAAAGCAAGAAAAAGTGCATGACTTACTCCTTAAAAGTAAAAAAATGCTGTATGTATTTTATACTTTTTTCTTAGAAATTGATAGATAAGATGGCACTCATATATTTTTAATGTAAGAACATGTAAAAAGAAAATGATAAATTTAATTGGTGTGAACAAAAGATCAAACAATCAATATTACAATACATTGTTATTTTAACAGAAATAATTGATTTGAATAGTTTAGTTAATTGGAAAAAAGCTATGGCCCAATTTGAGAACATTTAGTTTTGGAACTTACTGTAGGAAAAGTAAGAGTCCATTGAAGTTGGGGGGTATATAAATTGAAATAAATAATAATAAACAGTAACAGCTGTGCTCATTCAACATGAATAGACAGAGCTATGGAAGAAACCAAAACAATGAGCTTATATAAAGTTAACTTGGTATAAATAATGAATGAGATAATATAATAAAATATTTATATGGCTATAAATATAGAAAAAGTATTTTAAAATGTAATATTTAAAAAGCAGGCAATGTAACAGAGTCAATGGTTGGAGAACCATTGACTCTGCCATTTCATGGCATCTTCTATGCTACCTATATAAAGTGTCCTGCTAAGGGGGTTCAATGTAATTATTGCGAGAAGAGTGCACACTTTTACAAAATCTGTCATGCTAATTATTCTAATGAGGCAATATATGGAGTCAACAGATGTGACTTTACTCTTGTGGTAATGAAGATGTGTATTTTGAAATCTCAAAATAGTTAGTTAAATGGTAGATCAGAAGTTTCTACAGTATATTACTGTATACAAGCCAACCAGCAAGATCCAACTAATTATTTATACTAATCATCCTTAATTAAATTAATTATTGTCAAACCAGTGAATTCCTATGTACTAGAAGAAATGCATCTAGAATCAAAACATTCTACTGAATAATTTTAAGCAGAAATAATAGGACAATAAAAATAATGGAAACATTTACAATATCCTAATAATGTATTGACAAGTCTACATTTCAAAAATAAGAAATACTTTTTGAAATATCATACTGAAAGAGAACATACTGAATTTGCAATAGGGAGAAAGTAAATAAAAAAGCTCAAGATTGTGAATGCGCACTTCAGATAAATTTGTTACAGTACTAAAAAAACAACTGTAATGGGCTACATGATTAATATCCTGTTTCCCCCAAAATAAGGCACCCCTGATAATAAGCCCAATCGGACTTTTGAGTGCATGGCAATAAGACCAAGCGCTTATTTCAGGGTTCAAAAAAAATTCTTATTTTCAGGGAAACATGGTATGCTCAATATTAATATATTTTCTGGATCAAATTAATCTCAAAAAATATTTTATGGCATTGGATAAGTTTCCTCTTACCCCCAAAGATAAGCATTTTCTCTAATAATTGCCTCTCAAAACTGGGCATATCATTTTACTTTAGCTGAAAGTAGAAAGACTATTGAAATAGAACAGACCCCATTGAAAACAGTAGGTAGAAAGTGCAAATTTGCTGACTGAAAGGAACACAGAAGAACGGAAGAACCCACTGCTGTAATGTCATAGGAGATGTAGAATATTAGGATACTAGACTTCTCCTCTTCTGATGTCTTCTATGTATAGGAGGTAAATGTTTGTAGGGGAGAGACTACTTTATCCATGAAAGTTCTTCACATAAATAAGGATTTTGAAAATCCGGATCATCTAACAGCTTCTATGGAGCTGTTAATCAGTGAATCAAAGAGAGGGGTGACTTAGGTTGTTATCCTCTTTGAATATGCATGTATATCTGTGAAGGATTACTGAATTCAGTGGGACTTAATTACAGAGTGAGAGTGTATACATTTTCTTGTGTTTGATTCCTAGATTGTTTTGATATTTCCTTTTGCAAATAGAAAAAAGATTTATTTCCCAGTTTCTACCTTAGTTTAGGCAGAGAATGTTGAAGTAATCAAATCTTTCTCTATCACAGAAGCTTCCTATTTTTGATTTCTGGTAATAAGAGCCTTGAACTCAATGGGAACTTAACTAAAGAGAAACATATTTACGATTACTCCACCCAGATTTTTGTAATCTCTCTTTCTAGAATTGTGTATGTCTCCTTGTATATATGCAGTTTCCATGTGAAAATGATTGGTGTTTGTATATAACCACAAAAGGTCACTTACACAAATAGGATGCTTCATTTTAAAGGCAATTAACTTTAAATTACCTTTAACCTTTAAACTTTAACCACTAATAAGTAATTAAATTATTATTTTCTTTTTTGGAGTATGGTGTCTGAAACAATTCTTGCATATTCACATGCATGGATGCTATGCGTGTACATCTTTTGGGGCAAAAATCTCCAGGATTGGTTTTATGAAAACTTTACAAATTTTATTTAATAAGGGAGGGATCCTAGGAAACGTTCAAAACTTTTGTACATATTCATAACCATTTTTTGTTTCCTAAATTCTTTGTTGTTACATTTAAAAGAAAACGTGGATTAATCTGGAATGAAATATATAAAATACTGAGAATGCCCAAGCATAAATTTAAAGTAGTGGAAATCTAAACTGCCTATGGAAATTCTGTTATCCAGGTCATAGTTGTCTCAAAAGTGCTTTTTTTCAAAAGGCAACTGGACTGTTTTTTCCCTTGAGGAAGAACAAAACATTTCATTTCTCATCCAAGAAACTTCATCGGGGGGAGGAAGAGGGAAGGATGGAAAAAGAGGTACTGATAGTTGAGACTGGGTGGTGGGGAGGATAGGATAGGTTCTGATCGGATTAGGGGGTGATAGAAGGATTGTATTTCTTTGCAGTTATCTGGTCCATTAGCACTCTCTGTGAGAGCTCTTGAAGCCACTTGGAGGTTTATCTTTGCCCTCAGGATGCAATTGGTTGTGGAATCTTCTTGGCACTGCTGCAAATGGCTTTTTCACCTCTTTCAAACCAGTGATCCTCTCTGTCCAAAATGTGGACTTTGCTGTCTTCAAAAGAGTGACCTTTGTTTTTTCAAATGCTGAATCTTATCCTTATGGGTTTGATCTCCTATGTTGTGCCATGCACTTGTGAAGTGGTTGTTTTGTTTCATCAATGTACACATCTGCACGTCTCACTGCATTATACTGCATATATCACATTGTTCAGTTTTTGTCTGTGTATTTTATTCTTGGGGTGGATTCCGCCTGTGTATTCTTGGGTTTAAAGTGTACTTGTTCTGCTGGTTGAAAATCTTCCTGAGCTTTTCAGATATTCCTGCAACCTATGGAATGACAATGTTGCTATGTTTGTTGTTCTCTTCTTTGTCTGTAATGGAAGAACTCCTGCTGGATATATTTCTGGATTTGATGAAGACCCAGTTAGAATAACCATAAGTTGTGAAGGATTCCTTGACATGTTTTAGTTCTTTTTCTTTTCCCTCTTCACTGATGGACAAACTTTCAGCCTGGTGGTGTAAGGTTTTGATCACTCCCATTTTGAGCTCCACTTTATGGTGAAAATCAAAATATAAATACTGATCTCTGTGTGTGTTTTCTGTAAACTTCAATGTTAAGGCTTCTGTCTTCAAGTTTACAGAACTTACATTGAAGTTACATTTCTATTTATTAGTAGGAACATGAGGTTTGCCTTCATCTTCACCTCTATTTCCAAGAAAAATGCCTTACCATCTCCACTTTGCCTCATTGACAATATATTTTTTGTGGCCAGGTCATTTTTTTCTTGGAAAAACAAATAAGGGTGGAACATTGTACTAGTGAGTATGGCGTTTTATAAAGGAAGAGAGAAGTTATCTAAGGAAAGGTGATCTCTACTGCATTTCATTTTTTCCTGAAATTCTTATATTCTTCAAAAGAGCTGAAAAAAATATCCAAATGCAGGGGCAAAGATTCAGCCCCTATTAATTTAAAGTAATAATAGTTTAATATGCTTTAAAAGATGCTGTGCAACCTATGGGACTTGGGGTAATGATCCTCCATATGTGAATGGAATATTTAAGCCTGTTTGATTCAAATTTTATTTATTTATTTATTTATATTTATTTATGTTATTTTGTCAAGCATATATAAGATAACAGATATAAGTATAAACACGATTATGAATACAGGAAATGGATATGGATAAATGGGGGCAGTAGGACACGGACAATAGGCACATTGGTGTGCTTATGCACGCCCCTTACAGACCCCTTAGGAATGGGGTGAGGTCAACAGTAGACAGTCTAAGGTTAAAGTTATGGGGGCTTGGGGAAGTAACCACAGAGTCAGATAGTGCATTCTAGGCATTGACCACTCTGTTGCTGAAATTGTATTTGGAGCAGTTTACCTTAAGTTTGTATCTATTGTGTGCTCATGTATTGTTGAGGTTGAAGCTGAAGTAGTCATTGACAGGTAGGAGGACACTGTAGCAGATAATTTTGTATACTATGTTTAGGTCAGACTGAAGGCAGTGTAGTTCTAAATTGTCTAAGCCCAAAATTTCAAGCCTGGTGAGCAGAGGAGGATTCTTCTTGTGAAATATCTCTGGACTCGCTCAATTGTATTAATGTCCGATATGCAGTGCGAGTTCCAGACAGATGAGCTGTATTCAAGAATTGGTCTAGCAAAGGTTTTGTATGCCCTAGTTTGCAGTACAATATTACCAGAGCTTCACAAGATTAGGTTAACAACTTTTAATGCCTTTTTGGCAATGCTGTGGGCTCTGGCACTTAAAAATGAGTACACCAAGGTCCTTGAAAGAGTGAGGGTCATCTACGAGGTCATATCCGCCTAGCTTGTATTTTGTGTTCTGATTTTTTTTGCCAATGTGTAAGACAGAGCATTTGTTGGGAGATTTGGAGTTGCCAATTGTTTGACCGTTCTGACACATAGTCAAGGTCTCTTATTCTTCTAGAATGATTTTGAATGAATATATAATGGAGAAAATAGTAAATTGGGTAATAATCTTACACTTTATATAAAGCATAATGAATTCAGAATCTACAGAAAATGACAGTAAGAAAAGAAATGAACTTTGAAATAAAAAATATTAAGAGGAAATTATAGATAATCAAAATAAGAAAAACATTTTTAAAATGTAAAAGAAATGAAGTGAAGCACCAAGAGACAGAGAAATGTAGATGTCCCCCAAAAGCTAGAATGATAACAAATTTATTACTTAGCATCAGAAAGCATCATACTGGTATTATGCATTGCTAAAATTCTCTGGCCACCTCTGTAATTTATTGCTACACATGACTCATAAACTTTTATCTAGTTCTTAACTTAGATTTAGAAGATATAAATAAACCTACAGTAGATGCAGACAATATAAATAAGTAAGATATAAAAGATTAAGAGTCCAAAATATCAGATTCAGAGGACTTGCCTGAATACTTTCTTTAGATAGTGCTGCACTTGCATTTGAAACTTGAGAAAAGATGCTTCCAATTTTGCTGGTTCTCTGTCAGAATACAAATTGGAGGGGAGGGAAAAAATCTGTTAACAGTATTTATACTTCTCTGTTATGTCCTAAAAACAATATTTGAGTTTCTGGTCATAGCTAATCAATAGTATTGGTGCATTCTTTTGGAAGCCATAGCAGACCGTTATGGGATTATGAAATGTTGTAGTCATCACTTTTTGTATAGTACACATACACACTGGTAATATTTTCATTTCTGAACACACATTTTAATAAGGGTTTTATCAGAAAATTGCACTGTAATATTCTGAGAAATGAAATGAGGGATTCTATACCCATGCAATCTCAATGCATGATTTAGAATGCTTTAGAACTGAGGAGTTCTCATCTCCCAACAATGTATACAGGTAGTCCTCATTTAGCAGCTACCTTGTTTGGCAATGCTTCTTGATTACAACAGTGATGAAGAAGTAATTTTACAGTCAACCCTTGCATTTTCAACTTTCTGAAAAGCAAAGGACTGTTGAAGTAGGATGATAAGTAGTGATTTCACTTAGCAACCACTATACTTAAAACTCAATTACCAGCCCAATTGTGGTTGCTAAATGAAGATGGAATAGGACAATTTGCCACATCTGGCTGGCTGCAACCATCTCAGTTGTCCAGCTCACCATGGTCACCTTGGCCTTTTGGCTATGATCAAGCACAGAAAAAGACTACTGGATTTCTGTGTATAATATGCTTGCAATGAACTCTGCACACCTTCTTGTTGATACTGAGCTCAATATGAATGCTGAAAATACAAATTCTTGGTTGGTTTTGAGGAAAAATACAGCCTGGCAAATGCAGTAAAATATTAGAATAATGTATTTTTTTCTAGTTTTCATATTTTTTGTAAACAATTTCAAGCATTCTTTTTTATTATCTCTATTCTATACACAGCCAAGCAAGGAACAATGAATTTTAACAAATATTTTCATTTAATTCTGAAAAAGACATCTCATTGGCCACTTTTTCTCAAGGTTGTATGAAAATAGTATAGATTAGCAGCTCACTACCTTGAGGATCTGAAATGAAAAAGAAGGGACCTAGGAGGGAGTTTCAACTTCCATTATTTTCTGTGGTCAGAAGACTCAGAATGTTTCAAGGCTTGTTCCTTATATAACCTTTCTGAGTCAAACTAAAGACTCATCTAATCCTGTATGTCTGTGGAGATTCTCAGTCATCCAGGTCATGGTTGTCCCAAAGGTGTTTCTTTTTTTCAAGAGGCAACTGGACTTTCTGGTTTTTCTCTGAAGATGTTTCGCTTCTTATCCAAGAGCTGAAAAATCTTCTTAGATGAGAAGTGAAATGCCTTCAAAGAAAAACCAGAAAAGTCCAGTTGCCTCTTGAAAAAAACATCTTTGGGATGATCTAATCCTGTATTTTCTTTTGTTCGGTTTTTAAGGTATGCCTTTCTCACTGGCATGTATACAGTATAAACTTTGCCTTAAAAATATTTTTATATTTATTTATATTTCACACTTTTTAACTGCTCATCTCCCTCAAGTAATGGGTAAAAAGGTTGGCTGAGTGTGGGAGAATGATTAGAATTGGTGAAAATATCTATTTGCTGATGGTGGAGAACTGCTGCTTGGAGTGACACATCTGCTTTGGAAATCATCATGTCATGGCAGCAATGGATATGTATAAAAAGGCCAAGGCAGAGTTCAAATAGTCTAATTCAAATTTCACTCTCCATAGATAGCACTCAAAAGTGCCTACCCCAGCCTTGACCTGATATACATATTGAAAAGAAAGTTTAGAAGTTTAAAAAGGATGCACACAGCTTTCAAACTTTCCAGTCTGGAACAATCTAAGGAAGTTAACATTTTAATTTCTTTTAGGATAGCTCTGTAATGTATACATATTGTTATGTCCTTATAAGGACATCCGCCAGGGGATTGGTTGATTCCACCGGCGGGAAGTTTAAACAACTGTCATTGGCCGGCTGGGCATGCCTGAGACGCATAGAAGGCGGCTCGGCAGCCCCAGCCAGCAGTCTGTCTTACTATTCCAATAAAGTGCTGAATGGACAACAGCTGAGTCGCGTTTCTTTCCGGTGCCGATCTAACACTGGCGACGAAGGACAAGCAAAGAACCAACAGCAGAGCAGCTGGCATGATCGCCATCGCTACCCAAAAAGAGCTGAATCACTAGCGGAATCCCCAGAGCTGAATCACTGAACCATGGCCGGACCACAGATCTCGATGGCTCCCTTTGACCCGAACCAGGAGAAGTGGAAGGCATTCATGGTCCGATTCAGACAATTCCTGGCGGGCAGCGGATTCACCGACCTGGACGACAACAGGAAGAGGGCTCTCTTCCTGGCTCACTGCAGCTCGGGGGTCCTACAGATGGCCATGGACCTCGTGGCACCAAGGGACATCGAGCTGATGCCATGGGCCGAACGACAAGAAATACTTCAGGAGCACTAAGCCCCATCGAGCACATGGCTAGCCAACCGCTTTGACTTCCATCAGCGCAACCAGCACGACGGAGTCATTCAAAGACTTTGTTTCGGCATTCCGGAAGATCGCGGCCAGCTGTGAGTTCAAGAATGTGGACGTTCAGCTGAGGGACCGAATAGTCTTCAGCATGAGGGACAGCACAGTGCAAAAGAAGCTCCTCAGCTGAAAGAAAGTTTAGCTAAAAGATGTCATCGAAGAAGTCACAGCCGCCGAGGCATCCGACAGGGCAGCAGCCGCAATGCGGAGATCCAAGGGGATCCACAAGGTCCACAGGGATCCGCAGCCATCTTCGGACGAGACCTCCACGGGGTCTGAATCCGATTTCGAAATGGCCATCCACAAGGTCACAAGACCCCAAAGGCGGGAAAACCCCCAAGATGGAGGCCGGGAGGAACGTTGCACCAGCTGCAAGGGGGACCATCCATGCGCCAGATGTCGCTGGCGGGATGCGACCTGCAGACGATGCGGGAGAAAGGGACACATTGCAGAAGCCTGCAGAGCGGCAGAACCAAGTTGGGAGACTCCCAGGGCCACGGATTGCGAATACCAGAGGTCATCCAAACGGTCCCAGTACCCGTGGTGAGACGGAGATGGCCACACAAAGAGCAGATGGATACACCAGACGACCATAGCACACGCTGCGGCCAAGGGATCCGACAAATTCCACGTGACCATGCCCCATGGAAATTGACTCAGGCTCACCTTATTCAATAATAGCCTGGGACCAGCTTAAACGACTCAAGCCGCAATTATCCAAGAAGCAACTGGAACCACTGCAAGCATGGCTGGTGGACTTCTGGGGCCATCCCATCAGGATCCTGGGAAGGACCCACATCAGGGTGAACTTCAAAGACTTCTCAGGGGATCTCCCCATCGTGGTAGTGAAGGAAGCCCGTCCAACCCTGCTAGGCATGGAGTGGTTCAAGCCCCTAGGGCTCACAATTGGCGGCATAAATCAAATTCAGCAGAATTCACTCGACCAGCTCCTAGAGGACTTCAAGGACGTCTTCGATGGGAGTTTAGGTAAATTTTTGGGGAAACACATTTCCTTCAATTAGGTCCGAAAATTGTTCCAATTCAGCTTAAGCCCCGCAGAGTTCTGTTTGCCTTCCGGCCTAAAGTGGATGCCCAGCTGGACAAATTAATCGCCCAGGGCATTCTGGAACCGATTGATCATGCAGCATGGGAGACCCCCATTGTGACCCCCATGAAGCATGATGGATCTGTGCGCATCTGCGCCGACTATAAGTGCACCATTAACAGGGCACTTCAGCAGAGCACATATCCCATGCCAGTGGTGCAACATCTGCTGCATTCACTCGGCAGCGGGACCATATTCGCGAAACTGGACCTGGCCCAGCCTTACCAGCAACTGCCAGTAGATGAAAAGACTGCGGAGGCACAAAAGATTGTCACGCATAGGGGTGCATTTAAATGCAACTGCCTCCAATTTGGAGTCAGTGCTGCCCCAGGTATTTTTCAATCTATGATGGAATGCCTTCTACAAGGCATTCCAGGGGTGATGCTATACTTTGATGACGTGTTAGTCTCTGGAGACGCGGAAGCCCAACTAATGGAACGGCTCAGGGTTGCCCTACAGTGGTTCCAGGTGAAGGGACTAAGAGTCAGAAGGGACAAATGCGTTATTGGGGTCCAGGAGGTCGAGTTCCTGGGCTATCTAATTGATAGCAAGGGCATCCACCCCACCAAAAGCAAAGTTAGGGCTATACACGAAGCTCCAGCCCCCAAAACAAAAATGGAGCTGCAGGCTTTCTTGGGACTACTGAATTTTTACAGTGTCTTTTTGAAACAGAAAGCCACCGTTGCTGAGCCACTCCACCGTCTCCTAGGCAAGGCGGTTCCTTGGAAGTGGGGAGAAGAAGAAGAGGCAGCCTTCTGGAAGATCAAAAGACTCCTCTCCTCCGACAGCCTCCTCATGCAATATCATGAGTCGCTTCCACTGTCCCTGACTTGCGACGCATCACCGTATGGAGTCGGGGCTGTTCTCAGCCATCAGCTGCCCAATGGACCCGAAGCCCTCATCGCTTACTTTTTCAAGACTATGTCCTCAGCGGAGCGCAATTATAGCCAGCTGGACAAAGAAGTTCTTGCCATCGTAGCTGGTATAAAGCGTTTCTACGAGTACGTGTAAGGAAGGGCTTTTATAATCATCACAGACCACAAACCATTGCTGGGACTGCTCGCAGGGGACAAGCCAACGCCTGCGTACAGGTCGCCCAGGATGACACGCTGGGCCATTTTTCTTTCCGGGTACTCCTACAACCTGATCCACCGACCCGGTAAGAACATATTCAACGCAGACGGCCTCAGCAGATGCCCGGTGTGAGAACCTGTGATAGATCCGGCACCCACCCTCGGCCTCTATCACATCAATGAGGACCAGATGTGCCCAGTGTCATCCACCACGGTGGCAAGCCACAACCTGAGGGACAAAACCTTGAAGCAAGTGCTGTCCTGGATTTTGCGGGGATGGCCGATGGAGAGACTGGGCGAAGACTTCACCCCTTTTGTATGGAGGCAGCAAGAACTGTCCACAATGAAAGGCTGCCTTCTCTGGGGTGACAGGGTGGTGATTCCCCACACCCTACAACGAAAGACATTGGAGACCCTGCATAGCGGCCATCCAGGCATAGTCCGGATGAAGGCATTGGAACGAAGCTATGTCTGGTGGCCCTCGTTAGACAAGGACATAGAAGCGTGGATCGCCAGATGTGACCCATGCCAAGCATCGCAACCGGCGCCACCACGAACCCAGCTGACGGAGTGGGAACAGCCCAGCAGCCCATGGTCGAGGATACATATCGACTTTGCGGGGCCTATGAAGGGGAAGTTCCTGCTCATCATGGTGGACGCATTCTCAAAATGGCTGGAGGTCATAACAATGCCCTCCACCACAACAGATGCCACCATCAAGGCACTCCGCCGGTTGTTCACCACCCACGGCCTACCGGATGTACTGGTCTCCGACAACGGCCCGCAACTCAGGGCAAAGGCGATGGAAGACTTCCTGGCAGAACAGGGCATCAGACATGCTCTCATCGGCTCGTACAGACCGGCGGGAAACGGGCAGGTGGAAAAAATGGTGCGCCTCACAAAGGACACGCTCACCAAGATGGACACTGGAGACTGGCAGGAACAAATCGATAAGTTCCTGCTGACCCAGCACATCGTGCCGCACGCAACCACAAAGAAAAGTCCGGCAGAACTCCTGATGGGGAGAAGGCTCCGCTCTCCACTAAATCAGCTCCATCCATAGTACAACCCAAAAGACAAGCCGATCAACCCACCGCCAATGCGAAGCTTTGCTAGCGGAGACCTGGTATTCGCACTGAATTTCCAGGGTCCACCTAAATGGGTCAAGGGCCGAATCGGGAGAGTGACCGGACCGAGATCGTACGGTGGAGCTGGACGACGGACGATCATGCAGACAGCACATCAACCAGCTCCGGAAAAGGTGGAGGGGAGTCGAGAAAAACCACCCAGACGAGGTAGACCTACCACCCCCCGACGAGGTAGGCCTGCCACACCCCGACAGGGCAGACCAACCCACTCCCAGCAAAGAGAGCTACCAACACCTCAGCAGAAGAGACGCGGTAGACCGGGACCAACCCAGCGGGACGAGCTGACAGCCCTATGGCAACGATGACCGGCAACCCCCCAGGGGACGGGACCCCCATCACCACGATGGGGTAGACCGGAGACCACCCAACACGGCGAGCCAATACCAACCCAGAAGGGTCAACCACCGCCACTCCAACAGGGTTGACCTACACCACCATGGCGAGGGGGACCTACACCACTCCGGCAGGGGAGGACCACAACATCCCAGCGGAGGAGTCCTACCCGACCCCGACAGGGTAGGCCAGCACCCCCCAGCTGGGCCGGGACACCAACACACACCACCAGCGGGAGTCCAGCCATGGGGGTGGCCCGGAACCTCCACCTGTGACAATCCTCGGACACCAGGCAGAGAGGGAAGTAAAGAACCGAGGGTCCTACCGGGTTTCAGCTGTCCAGTCCGACTCCGAGACGAACGACAGGAACTGAACATTCTTCATCCAGGCCTGATCGAGGTACCCCACCAACCGCGAGGTGAGTTGTCTACTCCAGCCGGAGGCGCTAGGCAAGGCCCCGCACACTCAACGGCAGAGTTCCGGGACATTCCACCACAGGGACGGGAGCTAGCAGGAGCCAGACCCGTCCGGAGCAGCATCGTTGAACGAACTGAACCGCGCAGGTCAGGTAGGACTATTGTTCGTCCCACCTACCTGCGCGACTACGTGACCTAGGTCGGCCATGGAGTGATTGACTAAGGACTAGGAGGGGAGGGGTGTTATGTCCTTATAAGGACATCCGCCGGGGGATTGGTTGATTCCACCGGCGGGAAGTTTAAACAACTGTCATTGGCTGGCTGGGCATGCCTGAGACACGTATAAGGTGGCTCGGCAGCCCCAGCCAGCAGTCTGTCTTACTATTCCAATAAAGTGCTGAACAGACAACAGCTGAGTCGTGTTACTTTCCGGCGCCGATCTAACACATATACTTTTCACCTTAATTCAGATGAAGTTATTATAACACATCAAATACAATGGTAACATATACAAATGTTTTTGGAAAAGGCTAGGCTAGTCTGTTGTAGCAAAAAAAATTCTTTATGATAATTTAAGGATTACTAGAGCCCATTTCATCAGAAGCAGCTGTGTATGTGTAAAGTAACTGCACATACATTCACATCCACAGATTCTTCTTAAATGTAGCCATGAAAAAGTATGTAAACCTGGCTATAATTATAAAATTTATCATTCTTCAGCTATATTAGGCTTTAAAAAAACAAAGCTAAACCCAATTCTTAATATACTTAGTTTAATTGGCAGGCACAATATTTTAGTGCTCTTTGCTTATTGGCAATATGAAAGTCCAACTTCATTAGGAAGATTAAATTTTCAGCATTAAGGTGTTCCTGCCCATATTTACCTGGATATCTATATTCTGGGTATCCATAATCTCTTCTCTTTGACTTCCTAAACTAATGTTTTCATCACCTGAATGAGGAAATGGGAGTAAGAGAAAATAAAGCATAAAATATATTACAAAGTAAGCAGTTTTCTTATAGTATGAACTGATTTTTATATTCAATTCTATACATTTTTAAAACTTTCGGCAGGGGGAATGAATTCAGAAATGTGGATTCCTAATAAGTCTATTCAGAATGAAATACCTTTGAGCTCAACAGCATCTTTGAGCTCAACATCTTCCAGGTAGAGATGTCTAACAACCTATACTCAATTTTTTTATAATTATCCATTTTAGTTTTCAAAACTTTAGAGCGACAGTATTTTTATAAATTCATAATGATTGCAAATTAAAATTTTTATATGTTCATGATGATTGCAAATTTTTTAATATTATCTGTTCATTAGTCAAAACCTAGAATAAGGGGATAAGGAGCCAAGTACAGCTGCTTGGGTACAAAAAATCTCTCAGATGGATCATTTTATCCCAATATTTGTGATCAAATGAAGAGCTAGTAACTACATTTGAGGGAGGATATCTCTTCTGACACCTGAAAGCTGTACACACATAAGATAGTGGCAGCTTAGATCTTTGTTGGTGGGTGGGTGGATTTAAGAGAACACATGTGGTATCAGTATTAGTGATGGCAGCAGGTTACATCAGTATTACTGTTATCAGATCAGATTTGCAGGAATCTGGGGCATCACTAAAGCTTTTTGCTGTGATCCAGTGGTCACTAAGCATATAGGATGCTTTTGTCTACAGCCTACATTTATCTGCTGCTCCACCTCCACTCTTGGCCTAGCCAAATGCCTTGTTTCATCTATAGAGACATGCCAGACATGCAGTTGTCCATGACTTTTTTTTTTAAGCCTGTAGGTCTGATTGGGGCTTTATTTCTGTGGGCCCAAGATAGCCATTATACCTTGCATAGAATATATTTATACCAATAGGGAGAATGGCTAGTCTTGGAAATATGTATCACATTCTTAGATAGAGTTATGACTGAAAGGCATGTAAATTGAGAGTTATCTGATATAGAGTTACGGTATATTCCACTGAAGCAGGAATCTTCCAAAAACTTGCAAGGAATATGAGATCAGCAGTTGATTTTTAAATCACCTGATGCCTAATAAATTAACTTTTAAGAAACTTAAAAACTATTATTAAAAATGTCAGTTAATCTAACACAATTTATTTTGTAAAATTTATTTTTTTCCAAATAATATAGCTAGTATTTACTTTTCATACACTGTTTCTTATGCACAGTTTCCTCTATGGAAATGATTACTAATATAATGATCATTATTACCCTGTTAGGAAATGTATTAGCCCAATGTATTTTTAGCAATAAGTTAAATTTTGCAAAATATTTTTATTTCACCTGTAATTTCACTTGAAATGCATGGTGGTTTAAGAATATCATCTGGATGTGGTTTGCAAAGTCCATGGAAAAGTCTCAAGTCAAAGCAGTCATGAAGCAGTTGTACATTCACTTCAGAACATATACTCATGAACCCCACTGCTATGCCATTATCCTGAAACATCCATTAAAAATGCTGTTAAGTTTTTCCCCCAAAAAAGATATGGATTCTCATAAAGTAGGAAAAGATACCATTTAATTTCTTGTACTAAAATTCATGCTCCTTGCTTATAATATAGCAAGAGGACCTCTGACACATAACTAAGAAATAAAAGTAAGAGGGATAAAGCAGTGCATTGTTTACTTTGTGTTATCAGTGATTTTTCAAGCTTCAATAGCAATAGCACTTAGATTTATATACCATTTCATAGGGCTTTACAGCCCTCTCTAAGTGGTTTATTTATTTATTTATTTATTTATTTATTTATTATTTATTTATTATTTAAATTTATATACCGCCCTTCTCCCGAAGGACTCACGGCTATGTACAGCCAAAAATAAAAACATAAAAATATAAAATTTAAAACAATTTAAAAGTATATTAAACAAATTTGGCCCATATTAATTAAAAAAACCCTTTTTTAAAAAACGAATTAAAAACAATTAAAGAGCTACGCCAGCCCGGCTTGCTGGAATAGAAAAGTTTTGAGGGCACGGCGGAAGGTGCGGGATCCTTCGTATCTCCGGGGGCAGCTCGTTCCAAAGGGCAGGTGCCCCCACAGAGAAGGCTCTCCCCCTGGGGGCTGCCAGTCGACATTGTTTGACCGACGGCACCCTGAGGAGCCCCTCTCTGTGGGAGCGTACTGGTCGGTGGGAGGCTACCAGTGGCAGAAGGCGGTCTCGTAGATACTCAGGTCCTAAGCCATGGAGCGCTCTAAAGATGGTAACCAATACCTTGAAGCGCACCAGGAAGACCACCGGGAGCCAGTGCAGCTCGCACAGGAGAGGTGTTACATGGGAGCGCCACGTCGCTCCCACAATCACCCGCACAGCTGCATTCTGGACTAGTTGGAGCCTCCGGGTGTTCTTCAAGGGGAGCCCCATGTAGAGAGCATTACAGTAGTCCAGGCGGGAAGTGACAAAGGCATAAATGACCGTGCGCAAGGAGTCCCGATCCAGAAAGGGATGCAACTGGTTTACCTTAGTAGTCAGCAAATTGCCCTTAAGGAGCTCCTTTTACTGACCTTGGAACGATGGAAGGATTGGTCAACCTTGAGCCAGTAAGAATTGAACTGCTGACACTGGGCAGAATTAGCCTGCAATACTGCATTCTAACCACTGTGCCACCAGGGCTCTTAAAACCATGTACAGGATTTGAAAAACAGCTCACATATTCCAGTTTAATCCGATAATTTCCAGACTTAGTTTTAAGAACAGCCATATTAGTAGACACACTATTCTATTTAATTAGTGTTTAATCTAAGGTGACCAGATTTTAACATTGGTAAAGAGGGACATTGTGGGTGTGGCTTATTTTGTGGGCGTGACTAGCTGGTCATGTGACTGGGTGGGCGTGACTAGCTGGTCATGTGAGTGGGTGGGCGTGGCTAGCTGGTCACGTGACCGGGTGGCCATGGCTATGTGTATAGGGTAAGGTGAACAGATTTTAACATTGGTAAGAAGGACACCATTGTGGGCGTGACTTATTGTGTGGGCGTGGCTTGGAGGCCATGTGACTGGGTGGGCGTGGCTACCTGGTCATGTGACCGGGTGGCCATGGCTATGTGTATAGGGACTACTCAGAGGGCTGAAAAGTCATTTCTGACAGGTCCTCACACTTTTGACTGGTCCTCACACTTATGACCATCCTCACATTTATGCCCGTGCAGCATTCTTAACAACCATGTCACTCATTTCACAACTGCTTCTCTTCACCATGGTGACAAGATAGGGCAAAAACATAAAATGTGAGGACAGTCGTAAGTTCGAGGACTGGTCAAAAGTGTGAGGACCAGTCAAAAATAACTTTTTCAGCCCTCTGAGTAGTCCATATGCACAAAAGGACTAACCAGAGGGCTGAAAAAAGTCATTTCTGACAGGTCCTCGCACTTTTGACTGGTCCTCACACTTATGACCATCCTCACATTTATGCCCGTGCAGCATTCTTAACAACCATGTCACTCATTTCACAACTGCTTCTCTTCACCATGATGACAAGATAGGGCAAAAATGTAAAATGTGAGGACAGTCATAAGTTCGAGGACTGGTCAAAAGTGTGAGGACCAGTCAAAAATAACTTTTTCAGCCCTCTGAATAGTCCATATGCATTAAAGGATACAGCAATAGAGAGGGATGAAGGAATGGAAATTAGAGTAGGAGTGAGGGTAAGAGAGGGAGGAAGAGAGGAGGAGAAGGAGAAAGGAAGAGGAAGTAGGGAGGAGAAAAAGAGGGTGGGGGGAAGAGAAAGTAAGAAGGAAAGAAAAGAGAGTGGTGGTAGGTTTGAGGAGAAAGATTGCTGTACAATAAAAAAGATGAAAGGGAAGAAAGCCAACCCCAAGCAAATATAAAGATATTAAGATTAAGAATGAATTGTTAAACTTTAAAGAATAAAAGAGAACAAATATGAATAAATAGCAATAATTAGAAACACACATACAAACATACAACGTATTTTCTTTGAACAGAATATTTGGCTGGTTCACAAATTTAAACAGCGTTTAGTCATTTCAATTAAATTTACAATTTCTATATTTCCTTTTTGCCATATTTATTCCTCATCTATTTTTTAAAAAAACAATATTACCCTTCATCCTCATCTCTAATCTTAATCAAATTCAATTTTTCCCTTCTATTCTATATTATACCCCTTCCCATTGTCATCTATTTTTATATCCATCCTCACATTGGTTAATTATGTAATTATGTAATACAGTTGTTTAATACAAATTCAACATTTTAATATAAATCAATTAGTTATATAACTATCTTCCAATTATTCAACAATATTCCAATTATTTCCATGCAATCCAATTTCTTACAAATCAATTAATTATATTTACCAATAATAATAAACCAAATAATTTCTCCCATATATTCCTCCAAACCACAACTTAACCATTTCTGCTTTCAACACAATATACAATTATTAATAGTATCTCAATTATTACAATTCCCTAGTTAAATAGAGCTTTTTTTCTTTTGTGTTTTAAAATCTTGAACTCTCCTCTTTTGCCCAAAATTTCCCATTGTTTGCAGTTTTGTACCTACCTTTTTTGGTGAGGAAAAAGAAAAAGAAAAAGAAAGAAATCTCTCTCTCTGCCTCATTTTGTCACGTTGCAGCTTTACTTTCGCTTTTGTTTTCAGCATTGCTGGGGGAAAAAAATCTGCTCCAGGAACTTTTTGCAGCTTTTTGCAGCTAATTAACCTAGCGGAACCTGTTAACAGGAGCTGTTTTTTCTATTTTTGCAGGCATGGCCTACTCATTTTTTTTTAAACACTGATCAGCTGTAGGTCGGCCCTTTGAAGCCCCGCGGCAAGAGTTTAAACAGGTTTTTTCCCTCTAGCCATCAGCGGGGATTCAGGAGGCAGCCGGGACTCAGGGGGCAGAATGAAAAATCGGGACTTTTTTAAAACGCCGCGGGACGCGGGACAAATTGCTCAAAAGCGGGACTGTCCCGCCAAAAGCGGGACGTCTGGTCACCTTAGTTTAATCAGATGCCAATAGGTAGTCAGATGTTACAGGGCATCCACCTGAGGGTCAAAAAACTCATGGCTCAACAAAATTCCACCACCCCTTTTAAAGTGTACCACATTTTAAAATGAGCTAGGGCTTCAGTCACACAATCTTACTCTCCCTACCTCCCATAACTTTGCATCACTGGGAATTGTATGGTATGTAAGATCATCCCTTTCACATGCTCCAACACCTATTGGCTGCACTACTGAAGGCAATTTATGGCAATTATATCTGATATAATTTGGGAGGTTATATATAGTAAATTTCTAATAAACAAATAAAAAGTAGCTAATTATGTTATTATTGTCAGATAATTATATAAAGGCAGAACAGAACTGGTCAACTTTAGGGTGGAAGAAGAAGCCAATAAAAATTGATCTAGCTTGGGACCAGGGATTTCAGAGAAAAAAAAATCCTGAAAAATTCCATACATGAATATCAATGGGAAAAGCAGAAAGTGGTGCAGAATGTTGATGACTGCTCCATTCTTTCCCCCCTTCTTTCTCCCTTGTTATGTGATGGGGCGGGGGGGGGGGCAACTATTATTAAGGGTTACAAGGAACTCCAGAATTCGTTTGTTGTATGCATTGCCTATGTTGTTTTGGTAAATGTCTACTTAAGAAAGAATTAAATTTCTATGAAAGTCAAATTATCTCCATTCCATTTGACATTATCTGGTTATCATTAAGGTATATGGTAATGCTACTGCTGTGTTTTCCCCCACCTGAGGAATATTTAGGCTGCGTTCTATTATTCCTAATGGATAGATGAAGAATATTCTGTTCAAATTGGCTTTGATTGACTTTTGTTATCCAGAATAATAACCCAAATTACATGTAGCTTGGATAATATAAAGACTGCACTTAATTTCTCATTTATTTTCTACCAGCCAAGGATCTGTATAGATTCATAGGGTGGTAATTTACATTTTTTTAAAAATGGAGACATTACAAATATTTGTTTGATTCTTTTCAGCAATCTTTAGGAGTGCTCTCATCACAACCAAACACAAAATTAACAAATATATCCTGATGCTCTGCAGCACAGCACAGCAGTCTGGCAGGGAACACTGGAGCCTTCACTGCCAAGCAGCTGATTGGTGGTTGGATTGCCCCCCCCAAAATACTGCCAATCAGCTGTTCTAGGTGGTGGGGATTGCCGCCACCGCCTATTGCTGCCGCTGCCTATCGCAGCTGCTGATCACTGCCGCCGCCGTTTTTGTACTCTGCCACCTAGAACATCTGATCAACGGTAATCTGGAAGGCTGATTCAACCGCCAATCAGCTGCTTGGCAGTGAAGGCTCCAGCATTCTACGGTGGTGTCAGCAGCTCAGCTCAGTTGACCAGTGGTGGGTGCAATGGAGCAGAGCCCTGGTGAGCCACATGCTGGGGCTGCGATAATGTGCTGAAGCTGACCAGGCTGTTTGCTGCAAGGACACTAGCCAGATGAATACCGATGGATGCTGAGAGGCAGAGGCAGATTTTTTTTTTCTTGTTTGCCTCATCTAAAGCTAATGTGCGTCTTATGGTCCGGTGCATCTTATAGTGCGAAAAATACAGTATTTTTACTTCTATGTTTATCACTCAGAGGAGCATTAAATCAATACAATAAACAGCCAAACAAAATCTTGTTGATTCTGACATCATCTTATTTTGTACTGATTTTTTGAAATTTGAATATAGCTCGTAGCTCTTACCATGTATTGCAAATTAGGATTGCATAATTTACTCTCTATGCAAACATATCATGTGCTGGGCTTTGGTTTTTGGTTGAGGAAGAATGGTTAGAATTAGTTTTTTAAAAAAACATAGTTTGTAAACCACAGTTGGAAAATTATGCCAGGAGGAGGGAGCCAACTTTCAACAATTCAGAGTCTCATTTTTTAAAGATTAGTCTCCAAAAACTAATCTAAAGAGTGAGTGACAATGACAGAGTGCTATTGTTGGAGAAGCAGAACTGATTTCATCAGTCTTCCTTCTTTTGAATGCTGCATTAGCAAGTTTACTCAGATAGGAATAATAAGTTTACTGAGATGTAATGTACTTATTTGAGTATTTATTTTATTTTTTTTTAAAAAGCAAAAGCTCAGATCACTGAAGATTGCCAGTTTGCCACTAATTTTTCGTAGCACATTCTAGATGAGGGAGGAATCCAGAAAGTTGCAAAAACTGAAGAGCTAGGCTACATGCAACCAGGGAGCTTCCCATTTCTGCCAAAAATGATGATTGATAATGATGCATGAATCACTAGGATGGCAACAGAGAGCTAAGACTAAATAATAGACAAATACTTTGTAGAACAATTCAGTGTTATCAGGCACATAGGGTAATTATAGGGGATGGGGAACAGAGAGCAATTGGATAACCATCCTACAGTTTTCTGCACAAGCCTGCTCAAAGAAGAGTAGTAAAACTCTATCAGTTAATTAATTAATAAATCAATGGTGTTTGAATAGACTTTTAAAAAGTATTTTTCCTAAAGATGCAAATTATTAAATGAAAATTTTAAATAAAGCCAGAGGTTTTTCACTTTTTAAATGAACGAATAGAGATGCTCATCCCATCCTATTGCAGAGGACAATATTTCTTTGTGTGTCCTGTAAAATGAAGGCTTGTAAATAGAGTGTAGTTCAATTAAACTCCCATGCCTTTTGTACATATGGAATAATCAATTATATGGTATATCCATTAAAAAGCAGTTCTCACTATTAAGAGTAATAAAATGCTGAGAATTTCAACATAAAAACAGATGACAGGCCAGCACAACTCTCATCTGACAAGCACTACAGTAAGAATATTGTTTATCTGCAATACAATATTATTTATTGTTATGTATTATATATTAATACATACAACACATTTCTGAGGAAAAAGTACATGGTTTTATTATAACAACCTATCTTCTAATAAAATATTGTAGCCCAACAATCAAAGCAGACTTGATGCTTAATTATGTATAGTATCTGACTTACATCTCTGTCCAAGCAATATGATAAAGAGATTTCAAGTGCAACTGCACAGGATTGGGGTCCGAAAAGCCAATTGAATCCTTATTTTGCCAAACTCTATCCAGAATTAATTAGGTTGTTTCATCTTTGCTCTCACAATTACTAAGATATGGTTCTGATCTTGACATACCCAACCTTTGCCTTTGATACAGCAGCAAATGGCCTAACATTAGGGATAGTGGCATTTTTAAAAACCAAAATCTAGCATTCCCATGCTAGCATCTCTAGCTGTAGTATCCCTATCCAATAGCTGAACGTATGTCTATTTCTTTGCATTTTGGAATAATGACAAAATATAAAAGAACCATATCAGCAGTAAATCTCAACATGATTATTATCTGACATGTAATATAAACAGAAGTCTGGATGGAAACTGAATTGGAGCTCTGTATAAAAGATAAAACATGACAAATAAATCTGTTTTGAGTAAGATGGGATATATTTATGTCTCTATTTTTTAAAGGAGTTTTAGAGGACAGTTAATTGAAGTTCTGGAAGCTTAGGAATCCTTCATTTAGAACTCACAGAAGCCCACAGGCAACCTTCCATAGTCTAATCTGCTGCCCAAATACTGTACAAGAGATAAAATGATAGGGAGCCATTTCAATCCTACTCAAACTAGGGATGAAATATTATGAGGTATCTTGAATGAATCCAATTTGTCATTTAAAAAATCAGACAAGTAGTTTATCTAGTAACTCACTATTACTATCAAAGGCTTACCTCACAAACTACAGCAAGATTATTTTCATCTTGAGCTTCTATCAGTTCAGCGAGGAAATAGTCACCATAGGTTTGCCTTAGAGTATCATTATGCCGTGAAAAGATTGGGGTGAGATCATCATGGTCTTCTACCCTGCAAATGAGATTATCCTTTTAAGAATAACAAAAATAACTTAGGATTCTATTTTTGTTTTAAATAATGTAAGTATAATGGATAAACAAACGGCATCAATAAACGCCATAAATGGACATTTTATGCAAGATAGCATAAAATCTTATGCAGAGATGATAGTTTCCTAAATTATGATAGATGGTTATAGCAGATGCAAACTACTTAATCCATTTTAATAGAAAGGCCTAACACAATAATATGTAAATAAATATAAGAGACAAGAAAAATGTATTTCTTCAGCTATTGCTATATAGTACAATCTCAGCTACCAGTATTTGGATTTACATCATAGTACGACTGAGTTCTGATTTAACAGCAAACATGTAGCACCAAATCAAAGTCTTTCATTCAGATTACCCATCAACACAACTATCCTTGGTTTATGAACCAATCCACTGGTAGAATTAATAGTCAAAATAATTGCAAATCCCTTTTTAATCCTATGATTAAAATTAATCATATGATATAATATTGAAGGCTACTGGACTATATAGTATAAAGGCTGTTAAAACAATTTTAAAAATGCGAATATAATCTGGTACCTGAAATGGCTACCGATTATTATCTAAACATGAGTTGTGCTAATTGTCAACACACAACAAAACAGATTAAACACGAGAACATAACAATTATGCTATCAAAATAAGGAAAAGAAGAAAATAGTATAGAAACTCTATAAACAAGAGACAATATCTGAAGGGAAGATAAAGCAATAGTTAGAAAAGTCTGAATTACCTAAAATACCAGAAAAATACAAGGCGGCTTTGGAAGAAAGAATAACAATTATGGAATTAACAGAGGGTATTAAAAAACAAAAGAATGGTAAAATGCTGGGTCCAGATGGTTTGCCAACAGAAATATTACAGGATGTACTTAGCAATACAATGTTGGAAGTATTTAATGAACTTTTAATAAATGCAAAAATACCCAACTCTTGGATAGAGGCAGTGCCGGGATTCAGCCAGTTCACACCACTTCGGGAGAACTGGTTGTTAATTTTCTGAGCAGTTTGGCAAACTGGTTGTTGGAAGAAATCAGTAGGGCAGAGAACCGGCTGTTAAATTACTTGAATCCCACCACTGGATAGAGGCATATATTACTCTTATACTGAAAGAAGACACAGATTTACAACAAGTTAAAAACTATAGACCAATTTCCTTGTTAAATGTGGATTATAAAATATTTGCATCAATAATGGCGACTAGATTGAAGAGATTGTTAAATGAATTTATTCATACAGATCAAAATGGTTTCTTACCAAAGAGACAAATCAGAGACAATATGAGGACAATCTTAAATACTTTGGAATATTATGAAGTACATCCAGAAAAGCAAATGGCATTGATGTTTCTCGATGCACAGAAGGCTTTTGATAATGTAAATTGGCAATTTATGATAAAACAATTGTAGACTATGGACTTTGGGGGAATATTTATAAATATAAATATAAATGCGAACCGGTAGTAAAGGTAAGTAGAACCCACCCGATTTGGAGAGATGGAAAAATTTGCAATTATCATTAATGGGAAGAATAGTGGTAATTAAGATGAATATATTACCTAGATTGTTGTTTCTATTTCAAAAAATACCGATAAAACTGGAGAAAAAAATATTTTGAAGATCTGAATAGAATGATAATGAAATTTATATGACAGGGAAAAAAGCGAGAATCAATATGAAAATGTTACAAGATGCAAGACAAAGGGGAGGATCTGGACTACCAAACTGGGAATTATATTATCAAGCAGCAGCATTATCATGGATGAAGGAATGAATTGTATTAAGAAATACAAGGTTATTGACTTTAGAGGGGCCCGATTTACAATTAGGTTGGCATGCTTTTTTATGGTACGAGAAAAATAAGATGCATATCTATTTTCAAAGACATTATGTAAGGAATGCTTTATTATTAGTATGGGAGAAGGTTAGAGAAAAACATTATTTGAAAATACGAACATGGCTTTCAACAATGGAAGCAACCAAATATTATTAATATGGGGAATATTATCAGATATAAAGATATTTTATCAGAAAAGGGGAATTGAAAATGGAACAAGAACTAGTAGAACAAGGGATTGTTATGGAGTGGTATATACAACTGCAAATACAATCGAGATATGAAAAAGATGCAGAGTTATATGGTTTTTATTTGGAAATGACAGAATTGGATGAGATGCTCACAGGAACAGATGAGAAAATGATTTAAAAATTCTATAGTTATTTACTTGAAGTTAAATTAGAGGAAGAACAAGTAAAAGAAACAATAGCATGGGTAAAAATACAATAGAATTAGATAAATGGCAACAATTATGGGAAAGAAATTACAAATTAACAAAGGCTACGGCATAAAAAGAGAATCTGTATAAAAAATTTTTATAGAGGGCACATGTCACCGGAAAGATTGGCAGAAATGTTCAAAGATAAATCAACTAAATGTTGGAAATACCACCAGACATCGGGATCATACCCACCGTACATGTGGTGGACATGTCCAGAAGCGAGAAATTATTGGGCAAAAATTCAAATATGGTTAGAGAAAATGACACAGCAACATATTGATCTTAAACCGGAGCTGTTCCTGTTGGGTATCTTATTGGAGAAATTTAGTAAAGAAAATATATATTTGATTATACATGTAATAACGGCAGCAAGAATGGTATTTGCACAAAATTGGAAAGCAGAAAAAATTCCTACAAAGAGAGAGCTAATTAAGAAAATATTAGAATGTGCAGAAATGAGTAGATTAACATTAGCAATTAGAGGGAAGGAAGAATCAGAGTATTACAACATATGGGGGCAATTTTATCAATGGATAGAAACTGAATATAGACAATAGGCAATGTAAAAATAAGAAATATGGGAAAATATGTTATAATACATTAAATTTAAATGTAAGAGGAAAGATAAATATGTACAAAGAAAATGATAAACGTTGAATATGATGACACAAACATTTTTTGTATCCAGATGTTACACTGATTAATGATGAATTGTTTGTTTAAAAATAAAAATATTTTTTTTTTCTAAAAAAAAAAAAGACAGATTAAATACAACATGTATTTAAACAAACTTTGGGTGGATGGAGTCTCATTTGAATTAGCAACTTAAAATATATCTTTATTTGATTGAGCTACATTTATAATAAAACTTGCCCTTCCAATTATGAAGAATATATTGCATATAAAAGAAATAAATGCCTTACTTTAAGATTCAACAACACAGCAGAAAAAATTCTGGAATGAAATATGATATGTTGTGCCTATCTGGAACAACCAGCTTTGAGATAAAATAAAAATGCAGTTGTAACTGAATACCCCAGAAGTCATTTGGCATTATTATAACAATCTGATTAAGGAAAAAGTGGGGGGGTTTCTGAACACATACGTCATAAAGCAAAGAGAAGGCATTAGAAATCTAGGGGATTTTTAAAATTGAATTGATACAGTATCCTTCTGGCTTAAATCCTATACATAATTGCGCAGTGTAATTAAACATGTTTGCAGGAAATATGCCCAAATATTTAAGGATAGATTTATATTGACTTTTCTTGTTTTCAAGAATATGATCAGTGGGAAAGATGTTTCTAGCGTACCCTTACTGTAGTATCAGTAGTGAAAGAAATAGTTTCAGTTGCACTGTTTCAGTTAAATACATAAGTTTAAAGAAGAATAAGAAATAAAAAGGAAGAGAGACTTCATAAAATGAAAAAAGGAATATAATATAATATAACTTGTATTTGCGGTCACAGACCAAAATACAAATATAATTGCAAAAGAACGTGGGGAAAGTAACATCATAAACAGTTGGCTACCAAAAGCCTTGGCTGAGAGGAATTACATCGTTCTCCTCTATTAGTTACAGCTCTCAAAAAAAAATTAGAAACCTGAAAAGTAATGTGTGAGGAGCCATCCCCTAAACAATATAAGGTCAAATTATTAGCATTGGATCCAGAGAGATCTGTTTCTAAGAGAGACAGTAATTTAGTCCTGCCTGCGTTATACATAGGGCAATATAAAAGAACATGCTCCACAGTTTCAACCTCAGCCCTATTACTTATCGGGAGCCTCTTAAATCGTCCGTCCAGCAATGCTGAGGGCAAGACATTGAAACGAGCAAGGGAGAAGACTCTTCTATACTTAGGGATGGTTAAAATGTAAAAATATGAGGCCATCCTCAGTCCATAATTGTTAAATTGGCTGAAGATCAGAGGGGAGCAGGTTTTATTAGCTCTAGCTTTTAGATATTGCAAGTCTATGTCCACAAGCTGTTGGACTACCCTAGATTGGGCATCCTTAAGGCCATAGTCTCCCAATGCATCCCCCGAAAAACCTAGCAGGTGGAGTTTCTTCGTCAGGAAAAAAGGAATATAACAATGAAGGAAACATTTTTATAAGAAGACTCCTGGCCTGGCCAAGTCAAGGATCATAAAGAAGTAAAGAGTCAGACTAGATGTGAGAGGAACTGGTAGGCCTTGTTCTGGTGGAAAAAAGCAATGTCAGGACTTAAAAGACTCATAGACGAAGCTATGGGGTAGATTTATAATGAACATAAAAGCTGTAGCTCTGCCTCTTCATTGCACTCAGTAAAGAATTTTACATTATTGAAATCCTTAGCTTCATGCTTGTTACTGAGCCTGGCCTTAGCCTCTAATTTTTCTGAACCCAGGGAGCCTTGCCTAGGAAATTGTATAATTTTACATTTTCAGGTTGACAAGCTTTTAAAAATGTGCTGAGAGATTTTCCCTGAATTAAAATAATCTGAGGTTCAATACATTCTGAGTCATCTTCAGAGACCCACTGATCTCAGGAAATGCAACTACTTGCAGTATGTATCAAACTGAATTATTATTCATATTTAACTAACCTGAAAGTTGATATATGATACTAAAGACAAGGATTATTTTTAAATATTGTATTATTGTTATCACTGGTTAGCAATATTGATCAAGGTTCATTAACTATTTATCATTTTATCACTTTAAAATGCTAGCAATGGACAGTTTTTGTTTTAAATTGCTATGAAAACAAGGGTATCCAGAAATCTTCCATACTATGTCAAACTATGGCATACTAAAATTATACAAATAAAAACTACAGTTGCAATATCAATACAATTCTAACTGCATATCTTCTGACTTATCATTCTGCACTAGTCTGAGCATTTTGAAATGGGAAACATTCTCATATGAAGTCACAAACTAACTAGTTATTAAGATGTAAATCTATTAGGAAAGGAGAATATACAGTTTCGTTACATCAAGGAATAAAATTTAGTATCTTAGCCTTGCTTATTGAACAATTCAATTTCCAATTTATATAAATGTATATGTATATATACACATATGTATACATGTATCTAAATACATGTATACAATATCTAAATACAGATACACACAGTATCTATGTGCTACTGACTACAGTAAAATTCACATATATATGGTACCACATTGATACCACTTCTTAGTTATCATTTTCACATACCAAACTACACTCTGTAACTGCATATAATATTTAGAAAAATATGTAGTACAAGTTATGTGGGCATTTCATGAGCTATCAAGTAATGATATATTTTCTCTGAACCATATGCCATTTTATATTATAATTACTATTTATTACAAGTTGGAAATCTTTGTGATCCTGAAAGTGGCTTGGCAGATTTTCTAGAAAAATGTGTTGGCCCCTTTTATGAATCACTAAAGCAGCTGTATCTTTTTCCAGGCTTGCACAGCTGCTTCAGGAGCTGTTCCCAATTATCTCCACATATTGTGTGAACATGCCCTTGGAAAAGTTTCTAAAGCAGCTGTGGGAACATGGAAAGAGACATCACTGTTTAATCAGAAAAAAAGCACACACTCCTACTCATTCCAAAAAGCTTCCTTAGATGAATTTGCAAGCTGTAATACTGGTCAGACATGAATAATATTATATAAGAATACCTTGTCATAACTATTATTTTTAAAAAATACATAAAATATGGAAAAATTGAATAACTTGCCATGTTATGTACATTATATTCAATATGATATGTTGCCTGCCTTTTCATAACTTCATGACTCTCATAGTGCTGATAAACTAAATATTGGCTTCTCTTTTCTGACAGATCCATGCTTCTTTTATCAAAAAACTAAATAGCTCTCACTTGTTTCAATAGGAATCCATCCAGTTTATTGGAAAAATATAGTCTTATATAGAATATGACCCAGCCTTTGGAATATTCTCCCACTGGAGGTGAGATCAACTCCCACCTTAATCCTGGCCTTCAGGAAGAGCCTTAAAACCTGGCTCTGTAGACTGGCCTGGGCTCCTGATAGGGATGCTTTATGCTGGGAGTGGCTGATGGGGTAGAGAGAAGATCTCCATCTCGATGTTGCCTCTCCTCTTGGTTTTTAGTCTTTACTTAATCTTTTGTAATTTTAATCATTTTGAAATGTCTTTTTATCATTTTGTAAACCACTCAGAATTGCTGCAAAAGTGAGATGGGTGGCATATAAATTTAATAAATAATAAATAAATAAATACCATGGACTTTCTTTTTTCATATCTAGCAATAACGTATTTTGTACTTTTCCTAGAGTATGAAATAAACAATTTAAAGGCAATTACTTAAGAGTAATTGTACTCTTAAGTACCTGTACCAAATATTTGAATGATGAGAATTATACATTTACCAGTAAGTGTTAACAATGGCTTAATGCTATGGCTCACAAAAGACTTCTCTATTGTACATTTCATCAAGACTTTCTTATTATTTTAAGAAGAGTATTAATTATTTAACTGAATTCAGTTCTTTGTCATCTTTGAAGACAACAGTGTTCCCAAAGTGGCTCACAAAATAAAAACGAATTGTAAAAGCTAATAAAAGTCTATTAAAGTACATATTTCTTCCATTTAGGGCTCTTAGCATGGGATCAGTTTGTTAGGGAATACTATGGATAAACACAGTACTTGAAGATATAACTTAATAAATTTTTGCAAACAGAATTCTTTATCTGCTTCAAGCAAGAAACATAGATTCTACATATAGGTATCACCAGGTGGACAATATGAGAAACAAATCAATTTAGCGAAGTTGAGGAAAGTAGTATGTAAAGATAAGATGAATGGATAGGATCAGAAAGATTGCTTAATGTCTTATTGAATTATTGTAATATGAATTAAGTAATATGAATTATTACTTGGAACATGCCAAGACTGAGAGTATTTATCCATTTCATATTATTTAATTAAATTAATTAAGATTCAATTAATATTATTAACCACTATTATTATAAACTTTTATTCATTAAACATGAAACTCAGTCAACTGAACATTTAAAAATGTATCACAAATATTATTGACTGGCACTGATCATTGATATGGGTTGCTGCCAGCATTCTAGGTATCAACCAAGTACCTTCTTAAGATGTACAATGTTCTGAGTAGCGCAGTTTTTTGCAGTTCCCCTGGTGTTATTGCAGGAAGCTGCAATTTATTTATGTATTTTGTAAAATTCTTGGATATGGTACCAAGTGCCCTGATGATAAGGGGCATCACTGTTACATGTTTCATCCATAATCGCGTAGTTTCGATGGCCAGGTCACGATATTTTGTTATTTTTTCCAGTTATTTTTCTTCGACTCTGGAGTCTTCTACTACAGTGATATCAATAAATTGTATGCTTCGGTTTTCAACAACTGTGATATCTGGTGTGTTGTGTTCCAAATGACAATCTGTCTGTATTCGAAAGTCCCACAAGATCTTCACCTTTTCATTTTCGACAACTTTCTCCACTTTATGTTCCCATGACTTTTTGGATACAGGTAAACTGTATTTTTTACATAATGACCAGTGGATTAATTTAGCAACTTGGTCATGTCTAGCTTTGTAATCAGTTTGTGTGATTTTGTTGCACTCGCATATTAAATGTGAAATAATTTCAACTTTGTCATTGCAAAGTCGGCAGTATTATTTGATTTAATTAATCTTATTAATCACTATTATTATTATTCACCCATATCACAACAAATGTTTGATGAAATATTAAATTCTTTTTACCAACATGTATTATTTCATCAGGTATTTAGATTTTTGGATAACAATTATTGTTTCAATTGTTTGAATGTAAATTGTTTTTTCTTGTCAAAGTACAAATTGCTAGCTGTAAATACTACTAATACGTTAGTACTATTTGTATAACTGGCCATAGGCTTCCTGAAATATATTTGTATACATACTGTAAAATTAACTATACTTTTTTTAAAAAATAAAGCAAGCTAAAATAGTAAGTTAAACCTAGGATGGGAAGTGTATTCAGTTCTTGCTAAGAGTAATTTATGTTTTTCTAGCTGGTGATTGCAAAAAGTTTCAAATACCTTAGACACTGGATTTTTGGGCAGAAATCTTTAAATAAGCCAAAGGTCCTTCAAAAATTAAAGGTTTAAATTAGCCAGCCTTGATTCATTCATTATATTGCTTACCTATTCCACTAATTATTTTATAAGAGAATTAAAAAAGCTGGATTTTTCTTTCTTGTTGTCTCTGTCTTTTTGTTTTGTTAACCCTAACTTCACTAAATGCTATACACTAATAAACACAAGATCTATTTTAAAAGGTTTATGATGACCTCTGGTGGTCAATTAATGACTGGTTACTCCCAACTCATTTACTACCTGTCAGAATGTGAAGAAACACATATAATTAAATGATTTATTTTAAGAAACAAACTATATGGCATAAGCATGTGAAGTTGATAAATATGATAGTAAAGCAATTTTCTTCTTTCTTTCAATATTAAATGCCTTTTAAATATGTTTCAAAGTAGAGAGATATGAAGGACACTTGCACATTTAGCCAGTTACCATAGAAACTAAACAAGCATCTCAGTACTGTCATTTCAAACTGCTTTTGAGAGAACGTTCCTCCTCCTTCTCCTTCAACAACAACAAATTATATTAGTTTCATGATCATCAACACAAAGTTAGTAACTAGCATGTCAGAGAAATTTTTCTCTTCACAAGTACAAATTCTGTAAGATAAATCACCATTTCTCATGTAGAAAAGCCATTCCAGTGAATCAAGTAAGAATCACACAAAAAATTAGGTATTATATACCATATGAAAACCCTGCAGTAGCCCAAAATCCAAACATTAAAATAGTAAATACTGACAGCATAATAATAATTTCATAGTTATTATCATAGAAAATATTTTTATTACAATTTTTATAACTAAATTGAATGCCAGCGGATTCTGCTCATTACTGAATTAAAACTGAGAATATTCAATATTAGGTCCATTCTTAGTCATGGAAATTCATTCTCTGAGCCCAAGAAATGTGGCAGGATTTTTGTAGGGAAGAAATGGAATGGAATCATACAAATAAACCATATAGATCAGATTAGATAGCTTTATTGATTAGCCTATGATTAAGGAACATTGAAAGACACAAATGAAGATACTAACATAAGATTAATTCACTCTCATACACAATGCAGGATATTACCTGGCACAGCGAATATACAACTGGGGACAATAGCGATGCCTGTGACACACATGGAGGCTATATTCCATAATCAGAGATGAATTAACAGGATTCCTCATGGGCTCAAAAGCTACTGCCAAATCTATACCTGAAGATAACAAACATATAGTAAAGGTAACTCACAGACTGCATAGATACTTCAGCTAAACTTTACTAAATATTGTTTCTAATGTCTGGTATTAAAATTATTATTAATTTAAAATGTTTAAATAAAGAGTGTTGTCCCAATATCCCGCCTGCATCTCCTCAGCCCTTAGATTATCACACTACTAAAATTCAAAGGCAAACATCAAAACCAAGTACTGGAATGGGAGCAAGAGGCCCCTCAGCAGCCTCTAACTCTAATTTCTATCCTTCAAATGCTGAAAAAAAAATGTTCCCCCTGTAACTTAAACCCTTCTTCTAGTAATGTGATTTACAGTCATCTGGGAAATCAGGAGGTTAAATTGCAATTCCCATTCTTGTTATTTACTAAGAGAGGAAGCAAAAATTATAAACCAGTAATGGCTAGGTGATTCATTGAATTATTATCATTCATTCTTATTTTTGTACTTATTAATATCAAAAGCCAGTAAACAAAATAGATTACTATAAACAGCAGACATCATTTCAACAAAATCCCCTAATAAAGATAGGAATACGTTTCAAATACATCCTAATTCCTATGTATTTTTATTAGTCTTTTTGGTAACAAGATTTATTTTTATTATATACCATATCTTCTGTTGTAATATACATTTGCCTCATGCCCTTAATTGAATATATTTTTATTACTTTGTTTTTTTTTCCAGCTAGATTCTTGGTGCCAAATATTGCCAATGCCTGTTCAAGATCAATAGCTCGTTTGCTTTTAGCATTCTAAATGTAATTGATCTCATGACAGAATAATAATTATCTAGCACATGGAAAGTTATTTGTTTGTTTATTCACTAAATAATAGGATCCAGTTTTCAAGCTGAAGTACCAGAGAGATGGGATGTAGAATCTGCTTGTTCTGATACTAATAGAAGTAGCAAATAATAGAGGTGGCAACTATTTCAGTCAGCTGCTGATTTCTTAAAATTATATTGGATCAATAAAAAGGGAGAAAGGTTTTAGGAGCCATAAAGAACTTAAACAAATCCTTACCCAATTCTTCTTGAAATGGTATGAAGAGAAATATGAAATGTAATTCTGGTACAGTTTTAAAAACAGTCCTGTGAACAATATTGTATTTTATTTATTTGCTGTTTATTTCAGGTAAAAAAATTAATGTACACCAAAATAACAGTCATATTTTAATTTACTTTACCAAAGTAGAATGGTCAGCAAGATAATATTTTCATCTATATCCGTGATAGCAAACCTGTAGCACACATGCCAGAGATGGCATGCAGAGGCCTGTCTGTGGGCATGTGTGCCATTGCCAGCTGTTCTTCTGCGTGATTTTTGCGCATGCTGGAGCCCCAGAAACCCAAAGACCAGCTGGCCAGTGCGCATGTGCCCAGGCCAGCTGATCTTCAGGTTTCTGGGGCTCTGGCATGTGCAAAGGTCAGCTGGCCAGAAGGGCTTTGAGTTTCTGGGGCTGTGCTACGAGCACGTGTACGCACGTTCCAGTTTGTGCACTCAGTGCCGAAAAGGTTCGTCATCACTGATCCAGAGGTGGGTTTCAGCAGGTTCTGACCAGTTCTGGAGAACCAGTAGCGGAAATTTTGAGTAGTTCGGAGAACCGGTAGTAAAAATTCTGACTGGCCCCACCCCCGTCTATTCTCTGCCTCCCAAGTCCCAGCTGATCGGGAGGAAATGGGGATTTTGCAGTAACCTTCCCCTGGATTGGGGAGGAAATTGAGATTTTATAGTTTCCTTCCTCTGCCACGCCCACCAAGCCATGCCACACCCTCCAAGCCACACCCACAGAACCAGTAGGAAAAAAATTTGAAACCCACCACTGCACTGATCTATATAATCTCCACTAAAAAATAAATGTATGTTCAGAGCATAGGAATCAAGTGAACATATGAAATGATGCCAGACAGGCAAGATCACAAATATTTGCAAGATGGGAGCTGCCATTCCAAGAAGTTAAAAGGCCAAAAATTAATGTAACTAATTTTCTGAAGAATTCATGCAAGATATTGCAAGACTTGTATTTTTCAAAAAAAAACTCAGAACATTTTACTTTTATTTTTTACTTTAAATATAAATGGTGAAGTGGCTGCAATGAGTGCTGTGTTGCTAATCCTGAGATTAGGCTTGCAACATATAAATGTGGTAAGTAAATTTATTGAACTGTGGGATAATATATACATGGCTACTGTTCTGGTTATGGTTCCATGTCAAATTGAAGAACAAGTCTAGGTCAACAGATTTTTTTATAACAGATCTTCCACATGTTATAAAAAACTATGCCCAGTTTACTGAGAACATTTTAGAAAGAGAGCTATGTTAATGTGGGATAACCAAAATTCAGAAGGGGACTGGCAACTCCTTTTAAAATGAATTTATTTTTTATTTTAAGGCATAAATTTAAGCTTTGTGATGAACTGAGATGTAGCTCATGAAAGATTATGCCTTAACCTTAATGCTTTAATCATAAAATAAAAATGGATTAATCTTACAGTTGGCACTGTAAGAATCTTTCTAATTTTTGGTCAGCCTACTGAGAAATGCCAAATTTTTATATTAGTAAACATTTCTGAAAATAACTACAAGTAGTTATGACATGATAGCAGTGTTCTAATATCTCAGGGGCTGCCACATAGAAGAGGGTCAAGCTGTTCGCCAAAGCACCTGAGGGCAGGACAAGAAGCAATGGGTGGAAACTAATCAAGGAGAAAAGCAATTTAGAACTAAGGAGAAATTTCCTGGCAGTTAGAACAATTAATCAGTGGAACAACTTGCCTCCAGAAGTTGTAAATGCTCCAACACTGGAAGTTTTTAAGAAGAGATTGGATAACCATTTGTCTGAAGTGGTGTAGGGTTTCCTGCCTAAGCAGGGGGTTGGACTAGAAGACCTCCAAGGTCCCTTCCAACTCTGTTGTTCTGTTCTGTTCTGTTCTGTTCTGTTCTGTTCTGTTCTATTCTATTCTATTCTATTCTATTCTATTCTATTCTATTCTATTCTTCAATAAGACTAAAAGACTTGTAACTTCCTCCATTCTGTTCCTCAGCAGACTGCCATCCTGCAGTATCTGTTTATTAAAATATTGAAATATCACGTGTCACATTTATCTAAATACAATAAAATGATATTTATTTATTTAATGATATTCATAGTGATTATGAATACTATAAAAGTATAGTATAAAAGTTAGCAAGGAGAGGATAAAATGGCAAGCCCTGGCCAGTAAACGAGGGCCTTCTGCAATATGGGAGGCTGATCTCACAGAATTGCCTATTCTAATTTTCATAAAGAATTGTCTCTTGTTATCAAAAATTATTTTATTACTATTACGTTTAGGTACTGTTTTGTTCCTGGACATCCAACTCTATGTACCAAAAAAACCTGAGAATAAAATAGTCTTATAATGGTACAAAAGGAAATAAAACAGTAAAATAGAAAATAGAATGATAGGCGATAAAAATGCAATCTTGCTATGTAACAATTATAGCTATTTATTTTTTAAAAAACCTTATTTTAAAAATAACACAAACTGAAGACAATTTGGTCCTTTGATTAATTTATTATAGACAAGTCAGTGTCAACTCATAGCAACCACATACATTTTTCCCAGGATGAACTATCCTCAACCTGGTCCTATTTCTTGGCCCAACCCACCTCACTGGGTTGTAACTAACTAAATAACTCAAGTCAACAAACATACCGAATACTCCTTCCTCCTCCTATTTTATTCCCAGTAAGGTGGGTTGTGGCTGGGGAAAATAGGAGGACCAAGGAATATTCGGTATGTTTGTCACATTTATTTGTTTTGTTTGTTTGTTTGTTTGTTTGTTTACAACCCACTGAGGTGGGTTGGGCTGAGAGAGTGATGGCCCAAGATCACCCAGCTAGCTTTGATGCCAAGACAGGACTAGAATTTATGGTCTCTCAGTTTTTAACCTGGTGCCTTAATGACTAGATCAAGCTGGCTCTCTCATTAGACAAAGTAACTTCTACTGGCTTCCCAAACCAAAGTCAATGGGGAAGCTGGCAGGGAGTTGAAAGTCCCAAGCTGGAAGGCAGGTAACTGGCTGCCGCCATGTGTGGGAGGAGCAATGGAGTTTTTGAGAGGTGATGTGCTGGCCAGATAGGATTGGGGTGGATATGAGAGGGTGTAAGGGGGTGCATAAGAGATGCTGCATGCGTTGGGACTTTGTGAGGGTGTGCATGAAAGGCACTGCATGGGTCAAGTAGGCTCTGCGTGGTGTGTGAGGAAGTTGTGCAAAGATTAGGAAGGGTGGAAGAGAGGTGTGATGAGGCTTAGGAAAGGTATGTGGAAGGCATAGCAAGGGTCAGCAAGGGTGCAAAGGGGATACATGAGTGTGTGAGGGAGGCATGGTGAGAGCTGGGGAAGATGCACAGGGGTGCATGAGTGAAGGATGGTATGTGGGGGTACATCACAGTGAGAGTGTGAGGATGCAACACAGTGCAGATAGTATGGAGGATGCAGCACAATGCGAGCACATAATGGGTAGGAGAGGGTAAGTGGGGGAGAGACTTACTCCAGTGACATGAGACTTTTCCTCCTATCTTCCCCATTGGTTTTCTGGGGAAGCTGGCAGGGAAGTTAGCAAATGGTAACCATGTAATCATGGGGTACTACTGCCACTCATAAGTACAAGCCAGCTACCAAGAACCCAGATAACAATTACATGACAATAGGGGTGCTGGGATGGCTCAAACTCCAAGGACCAATGATAATCTTCATTTGTTCACTGCCATCATAACTTTGAACAGTTGCTGAATAAGGGGCTGTAAATTGAGGACTACCTGTATATGTAATGTACTGATGAATCTACAGTATACAGATTTACTTTATTTATTTGTTTGTTAAATTGGCTATCTTATCATGGGGCTACTCTGGGCAGTTTACAACAATAAAATGGAAAAAAGTGATAAAAATGTTAACGTAACAATAGGAAAGGAATAAAATAAATAATGTAAATATAATAATATGAAATTAAAGATGATGTTTGGAGGGGAGCAGGAACTGCAATGTGGTGGTGGGTATTTTAAGCTTATATATTCTGCTTCTGTTTATTTCTAATAGTCAACTTGGCTATTTATTTATTTATTTATTTATTTATTTATTTATTTATTATATTTCATACCGCCTTTCTCCCGTAGGACTCAAGGCGGTGTACAGTCAAGAAAAATATTTAAGAATGTAATGGAACGCATGGATAAGCTTGAGGAAAGGGGAGAGATTCTACCTAGGAAATTGACAGATAAGAGAGAAACAAGCCTGTTAATTGTTTAATGGTGAAAGAAAAAAACTTAAGAAGGACCCTCCCCGATGGATCTAGCAGTTAAAAATGGCTGGCGGGAAGTTTGTACTTTCAGGCTTGCAAGATTCTGTTAATGAAGCCTTACAATACACTGTGTGCACAATTATTAGGCAAGCTGTATTTTGGAGGATTAATTTTATTATTGAAAAACTACAGTGCTCTCGGTAAATCCAAAATGTTAATAAACCCCAAACCTGAATATTTAAGAAAGTAAAAGTGAGTTTATGGCTTTCTTAGGAGAATATCTATGTATGCACAATTAGTGTGTAGAATTATTATGCAACTAAATGAAAAATTTCCCATCTCACTCATTTATTTTCATCTGTTAAAGTGAGAATAATATACAAACAACTCAAAATCTACAAATAAACATTTCTGACATTTAAAAAAAAAATCAGTGACCAATATAGGCACCCTTCTTTTCAATAACAGTCATAAGCCTTCCATTCATGGACTCTGTCAGTTTCTTGATCTATTGAAGATAAAATGTTTGTGCAGCAGCAACACGGCTTCCCAGACACTGTTCAGAGAGATGTACTGTTTTCCTTCACCGTAAATCTCCCACTTAAGAAGGGCCCACAAGTTCTCAATAGGGTTTAGGTCAGGTGAGGAAGGGGGCCATGTCATTATTCTTTCATCTTTAAGGCCTTTATTGGCTAGCCACACAGTGAAGTACTTCGATGCATGCGATGGAGCATTGTCCTGCATAAAAATCATGGTCTTCTTGAAAAATGCAGACTTTTTCCTGTACCACTCACTGCTTGAAGAAAGTGTCTTCTAAAAACTGGCAGTAGTTTGGGAATTGATTTTGAGTTCATCTTCAACCCAAAAAGGTCCAACTAGCTCATCTTTCATAATACCAGCCCATACCAGTACCCCATCTCCACCTTGCTGGCTTCTGAGTCAAAGTGGAGCTCTGTGCCTGTTACTGATCCAGCCATGGGCCCATCCATCTGGTCCATCAAGAGTCACTCTCATCTCATCAGTCCATAAAACCTTTGAAAAATCTGTCTTCAGATATTTCTTGGCCCAGTCTTGCAGTTTCAGCTTATGTGTCTTGTTCAGTGGTGGTTGGATTTCAGCCTTTCTTACCTTGGCCATGTCTCTGACCACTGAATACCTTGTACTTCTGGGCACTCCATGCAGGTTGCAGTTCTGAAATATGACAACACTGGAGGATACTGGGTTCCTGGTAACTTCATGTTTGATTCTTCTCAAATCTTTGGCAGTTAAGGTGCATCTTTATTTCTCAACACGTTTCTTGCAACCCTGATTATTTGCAACAAAATGTTTAATGGTTCTGTGATCACGCCCCAATATCTTAGCAATTTCAAGAGTGCTGCATCCCTCTGAAAAACTTTTTACAATTTTTGACTTTTCAGAGTCAGTTAAATCTCTTTTTTAGCTCATTTTGCCTGAGGAAAAGAAGCTGGCTAATAATTATGCACACCTTGATATAGGATGTTGATCTCTTTAGTCCACACTCTCCCTCATTACACAAATACACATCACCTGATATGCTTATATCCAATAAGTATTTAAGTTTATACAGCTTGGAAGTGGAAAATATGCATACAAAGGATGATATGGTCAAAATACTCAGTTGCCTAATAATTGTGCATGCAATGTAGAGTAGATGTAGTTCATCTAGTTGCATTTCCTATCTGGTTTATCAGGAAAGCTAACAAAAAGATACTCAAATATCTGGTATACATCAAATAAATACATGCATAAATTCAACAAGGGCTGACAATTGCTTTGCAAATACCCAAGAAACAGAAATACACATTGACATATTAATAAGTTGAAAGAGATCTACACTGCAATTCCCTTCCTTGAATAAGCTTTTGTAATCTTTCAGAATAGAACTTCTAAACAGAAATGTATTAGAATTCAATATCAAGAACTGTTTCAATCTTAAAATTTCAGCAGAGTTCCCATTCAGGATGTTCAGAAAATTTACTTACTTCATAATTTCCTGACAATAATTGACTGCATATTCATCAGTTGCTACAAATAGATGCATAAATAGTGTATTTAAAGGCTGTGAAAAAAAAATTACAAACTTAATAGAAAACACTACATTTTAATAAAATAACTTTAGTTTTGTCCTTGTAAAAATGAATGCAACACTGCAACAAACTACTCTAGTATTTTAGTTATGAAAAAAAATGTAAATGTTTTTTTAAAAGTTCACTATATTTTGTTATTCTTTTTGCAAGTTATTTTATTACCTAGAACTATATGTTGACTTGGGACAAACACAAAAGCTGACCGCACACATATATATCATGCTGTTTCCTTTCTGCATAAATATTTTTACACATAGCACTTAAAAGGAGCAATAAATAATAAGCAAAAAAACAAACAAACCCAAAGACCTTAGATAAGAAAAAGAAACGTAAATCTAATTGATATCAACATTGTTCATACCTTTCATATCTTTCATACTTTTCTATCCTTGTTGGCTGTATTCTTGCTTCCACCATATCATAGAGGTAGATGGCCTTTTGTTCTTTAAACTCTCTTTGAGTATCTGATTAACTCTGTCCATCCATGACTTCTTCAGTTTTCCCCTCCCTCTTGATCTACTGTTTTGCAATTCAACACTGATAATTGGCTTATTTCTAATCTATTTCTTTTCTAGTGACCCCTAGCATGGAATTTGCTTTTTTTATGCACACTGCACAGATGATCTGAACTATCACTCTGACAGACATAACTTTAAAAATACTAACATTGAATTGCATTTGCTGTTTAGTGGCCCAGTCACCAAGCTTGTGGTGTTTCTTTTGGGATTTTTTACAATCCGTTTGCTTTTTTACTACTATATCTGAGAAAATTTTGTGTCATCTGTAAATTTTACTTATTAGATGTGCAGAATTCTGAATCATTTATGAACAACTGAATAATGCTGGGACCCAAATACTTGCAGGATATCATTTCTTACCTTCTTATTCCATTACACATATTGCCCATTTATTTTCCAGCTAACTTTTGTCTCTATATTCATGATTCAACCCTATTGAATCATGAATCCCTTGGGAGTTGGGCGGCGTAGAAATGCGACAAAATAAATAAATAATAATAATAAATAAATATTCACTATCATGTTCCCTTTAAATCAAAAGAAACTTCTTTCTTATATCCATGCATTTCTTAAGTACACAATAAAGAACAATAATCTGGTCTACACATCAACTGCCCCAAAATAAAGCTATGCTATATTTCTGAGATCTGGTTCACTGTCACCTCTTCTACCCCTTCAATCAGAATGCTACAAAACATTGCCTCAAATACTTACCAGACTAATTCCACTATAGTTTTTGTACTCATACTTGCTACCTTACCCATTGCAAAAGGGAACATAATGGTTTCCTTCTTATGCTGAAACACTCCATAAGCAAACTATTTATAATTCAAAATATCCACTTATATTTGTCTGTGTGCAGCTATTTCACTTTTTAATGTCATCAATGCATTTATTATTGTTGAGGTTATTTTCGTGGACACTAACAGAGATTTTGCCTTGCCTCTGGAGAATGGTTTTGTTAACTTTGGGAAAAGTTATTCACTCTCTCACTTATCTCTTCTTGAAGATTGCACTGATCCTTTCTTTAGAATTTATTTTTGGAAAAATTAAGTGTTAAAGGTGATATACTTGGGAAAAAACCTTTGCAATTTTTAATAGCCAGAGCCAGATCTACACATTGCTAATAAATAAATAAATATGGACAGAAAAAGTGCCTGCTCTTATTCTGTCTGTGAAACAAAGCTAACAATACTTGGGATTAGACTCCAGAAGACAAGGGTATAAAATCAATTAATACTAGCAAATAAAGTCATTTTTTCATGTTTTCTTGTAATTAAAAATAAAATAAAATGTCCTATGCATTTATTCCTGTGAGAATATACAAAAATGAATTAGAATTAGAATTTTTGAGTGAAAAAAATTTCCATACTTACTGTACACTTTGTCTCAGGATAGTTTTGTTTCATGTATGCTTCCCAATTAGCTTCATCGACAACACCCCAGTTAGGATAATCCAAAAATGCAGCATGAGCAACACTTACATTTTTGTCATTAATCACAGTCACTGCAAGATTAGATTTTTCTCTGTAAAATAAATGTTATGTTTTTGAAGTGAAATTAGTAAAAGAGAATTCAATTTACTTATTTTAGATATATGAGGTGTTATAATGGTGTTACTTACAAAAGATATATGACATTAATCCTGCCAAACAATCTTTCTGTATCATATTTCATAAGATTGATAATATTAGGAATATCATGGGATTCTGTCCTTCTGGCACTTAATGCAACTAAAGATGCTGGTGTAGATGAGATTCTTGCAGATGATAAGGAAGACATTGTGCATACTGTAACAAAACAATAACCAAATATTCCATTTGAATAATATCACTTATCATCAAGGCATATTACTGAAATGGTTCCAAAATTAATCTCCAGAAATATTTTAAAATCACATCACTCCTTAAATATTTCAGTGAAAAAATTAAACCTTATGGATGTACATTTAATTTATAATTCAATAGTGCCTATTTCAAAGTAAACTGTGAGCTGAATTTTAGTATGTAACCAGACCACCCATGAACTCTTGGATAATTATTTTAGAGGTATTTCTTTACCAGATTCCTCAATGTATTCAACAATTGCAGAGTTTCTAAAGTACTTCAAAAGTTCTTATGGATTTAGGGAAATAACCAGAGATATATCTGCCCTGTAAATATCCCAGGTTGAACTATATAGCACTTAGCATTTATAGATGTATATACTGCTTCACAGCCCTCTCTAATTGGCTTACAGAGTCAGCATATTGCTCCCAACAATCTGGGTCCTCATTTTACCGACTTCAGAAGAATGGAAGGCTCAGTCAACCCTGAGCTGGTCAGGATCAAACTGCTGGCAGTCAGCAGAATTAGCCTACAATAATGCATTCTAACCACTGCGCCATCACGGCCCTTACAGAGTCAAACATCAGGAGTTCACCACAGGAAATATTTTATGACATTTTGTATTATGACATAAAATGCTTTAAGATTTTAATGATTTTTAATGTTATGTTTCATACAATTTTTCAAATTTCAGTTCAACAGGAATCATGGGTCCTGGATTTTAAATGTATTGTGTGGGTTAGCCCATTTGAAGTACCTTGGTTCAACACTTTTACCCTAAAGTGCACCGTTTTGCCCTGTTAAATGTTATAGGAATAGGTTTTAGTAGTATGTAGATAGATAGATGTTCCAGGGTTATGGTTAGAGATCTCTGATAAGCAGGATGTATCATATAAAAGAATAAAGTAGTGGAATCCTATATTTAAATAGTAGAATGGATCATACCACCTCAAATTTAAGTAAGTGAAACAACAATAACCAAACAAACCAGCACAGTTTGGATTGATACTGTATATTTAAAACAAGACCCTCAATCTTTGATGGATGTAAAATTAAGGGTGAATTATAGAGGCTTGCTAAAGTTTGGTTAGAGTGGCAGAAAGAAGTTTGCTAACAGCCATCATCAGGGCCCAGGCTTTAGAAATATATTTTAATTATTGGGGGGAGGGAGGAAGCTAATGTCTTTATCAAGCTTGATTCCTTGGATTGTATTTCTGTAGTTTTCTTGGCAATAACAAACAAGTAAGTTTTTAATTCATTTATTTATATCCTACCTTTGTTACTTTTACAAATAACTCAAGGTGGTGAACATATCTAACACATTTTCCTCTTTTCCCCACAACTCTGAGGCGAGTTGGGTGAGAATGAGTGCTTGGCCCAAAGTCACCCAGCTGGACTAGGACTCAGTCTCCTGCTTTCTAGGCTGGTGCCTTAACTACTAGACCAAACTGACACTTGTTATCTCCTAGGATTTTTTTTTTAATTTCCCAGACTTAAACTAATGATATTCCCTGGAGTCTCCCATCCATATACTGCCAGGTCTAACCTGCCTACCTATTCCAACATCAGGTCGATTTTGTCTCCTAATCAACTAGCCTACAGCCCTGTACTTACAAGCTGGACAATCATCACTAACTAAAGGTAACTATGGTTCCTATCCCATGACTGGCTGGGTCCTGCCCCTTGCTTAATACATCCTCTTTTAAAACCAAACTGAGATTTAATCCAAATATAACAGAATTCTCAAAGCCCACGGAGAAAGGATTTCTGCAATGCCAAAACAAACATCCACGTTGATAATTGCTCTGCTTCCATTCCCCACCAGCGTCATGGGAATTTCTGGCGAAGAGAACCGAAAGAGTTTCGAGAAATAATATTTGAAAGAGAAGAGCTGGACGGGATGGCTAAATGCCTGTTTCCAACTGTAGGAGTCTATCCAAGGCTCACCTCCCCAGGAGCGGCCACCTTTCAAGACCGGCCGCGGGAGCTCTGCGGAACCAAAACCACAGTTCAGCTGAGGAAGCCAAATCCACACAACGGAGATAGGGCTGTTTGTCTGTTCCTATGGCAACCCGAAGCCCAACCTTCTACGGCGCAAGGTTTGCTGGGAGGTCAAAGTTCAAAGTGAGGAGGAGCAGCAGCGGGAGGAGGAAAACGCGGCATAGATTAATACGACGGGGGAAAAGATGGCGTCCACGGCGGCTGGGAAGCAGCGAATTCCCAAAGTGGCAAAGGTGGGCAGGGGAGGCAAAGTGCGAAGTTGTCACGGAGCGCACAGACAGCCGTGGCCTATTTACTCGGAGTTGGATCTCACTGAACTCAGTATAAGTGTTTGTTTGCTAATGGGCAAAGGTAGACGTGGGCTGGAAGTCTTGCTGTTCGACGTGGTGGGACCTGAGATTTTCAGGATTTGTGGAAAATAGGCATGACCCACCCGATAAAAAGGAAGGCAGGGTAGATCAGATCGTTATGATCTGCCACCGAAGCACTCCGGGATTTGTGTTCTAAATAAAGGCGCTTTAGGTTCAAGTTTGCTTTTGGATAAAAAGAAACTCTAAACCTGATTTTATTTTAAAGGAAACACCAATAAAATCCTAGTAAAATATTTGTCTAAAGAGGAACTACAGTTATAGTAATGTCATCAGGGACAACTTGCACAATGTTGAAAAATACCGTACTTCATTACACTTTCTGTCATCTTTGGTGTTACAAGAAATAGTCTGTTTACTGCGCCTAGAAGAAAATATTGGAGGGGACAATTATTCACAGCTCTGCAAAACACATGGGTAACAGCACTGGATTCAGTAGGCTTTACTCCTAAATTAATGCAATTGCAGCCTGAGGCTATTTATGGTCAAAATGCATACAGTCGGTAGTTAACCAGACTGCTGTTTTAATTCTCGGCATACCAATTTATCCAAATAGTTACTGTATTGTTCATGCAAAACATTTTTAGCAGTTCTGAGAAATAACATAACTTTAGAATATAAAATGATTCCTATTGTCCAAACCAAGTTCTCAAACTGGAATTTATATCTGAGGGAGATGGGCAATTAAGTATGACAAATAAAATAATGGTCAGTTTCAAATTAGGAAATAATAACAAGAACCAAAGTTGTCAAATATCTTCATTTTTCCTTAGGAAGGAAGGGATTGATAGATGATTATGGATCTGGAATGGGCAAAAGGTACATCTCTAAGAGAATCCCAATAAGATTGGCAGGATTTCTGATTAAGAAAGATTTAACAATATAAACAAAGGGTTGTTTTGTGTGTGTGCTTGTTAACAGAAATGGAATTTTAATAAATTTTTAAACACAGTTCTGAGACTGTGAGTTAAAATTTTAGTTTAAGCCATAAGCTTTGATAGATACCATTTTGTTTCATAGATGCTGCTTGTTATATTTCAAAGAGTAAATTAGTGGCCAGTGAGGGACTTGAAAACAAATGGAGTTCTAAATAACCAACCAGAGGTGGATAATAAATGTTGCGCAATATTGTTCCAGAAGGTGAAGAAAAGAATCTAATTAGTATTTGAAAGAAGCTATGAAAAATCAACCCCTGTTTAGTAGAGCACAATGCCTTTGGTTTCTCAGTATGGATAGAAACACCAGATCTTCGCTGCAAAAATCTGGGTAATTATATGAGAGAAGCAAACATCTCCCATCTTTTTGCTATTATCTAGTACTTGTATGGATTTTTGCAGCTGAATCTAGTGGCCTAATCCTGGGTGTTGCCATATGAGTAACAGGGTAAGGAAACCGTTTGCTCTGGAAAGAGATCTCTGTGTTTCTGATCATGGAGAGAATTTGATTTTTCCACAAGAAAATGAGACTAGAACCTCTTTTTCGATCTTATGAGTCAATGGTACTAGGACAAGGGTTGAGAAGGCAGAATAGATGTTAGGAATGGAATGTAAGCTTTAAGATTTAATTTTAATATTTGAGCCAGGCTTCTATCAAATTTTCTTGCAAAGACAAAATAGTTTCATTTTGTTAAGACTCTTATTCTCTTATGCCTGGTTTTAGCATCATAGTTTACATTAGTGAAATTTATACTATAATTTTAGGTCTGCCTAATCACAAATCAAAACTTCACAGGTATAGGTATCATGAGTACTAGATGGATCAATTTGAAATCTATCTTCCTTCCTTCCTTCCTTCCTTCCTTCCTTCCTTCCTTCCTTCCTTCCTTTCCTCGACTTACAATCACAATTGAGCCCAAAATTCTGTTACTATGCAAGGTAGTTGTTAAGTGAGTTTTGCCTCATTTTATGACCTTTCTTGCTATGGTTATTAAGTGAATCACTGCAGTCTTTATGTTAGTAACATAGTTAACTCAGTCTGTCTTCCCCATTGACTTTGCTTATCAGAAGGTCGCAAAAATGATCACATGACCCCAGGATATTGCAACCATCATAAATCATGCCAATTGCCAAGTGTCCAAATTTTGATCAATGTCCATGGGGTTAGTGCAACAGTTATAAGTGTGAAAAAGTCATAAATTACCTTTTTCAGTGCTGCTGCAACTTTCAATAAACAAATGGTTGTAAGTCGAGGACTACCTATATCAATTGCAGTATGTGAAGTATTAGAGACTTAATGAACCTGCTATACGCATCTTCAAGCACTTTCCAAAGCAGAAAATTCTGGCGCTGTTTGCCAATGCTACCAGATTTTGGTAGGGGGATGGGGTCTCTGAGGCTGTACAGTTATGGGTTCAGTGCCACATTCAGGATGTCAATTCTATAGATGGGTTTCTAAAGTATATTGTATTTTGAAAAATGTTCTCCATCAGGTGAAAAATAAAGCTCCAGCAGAAGTACAGATAACAGCAGAACAACTGTTAAGAGAAGCAAAGGAAAGAGAACTCGAGCTTCTTCCCCCACCTCCTCAACAGAAAATCACAGATGAAGAGGAGCTAAATGATTACAAGCTTCGGAAAAGAAAGGTAGATAAGACATACTTTATAATAAAATACTGTACTGTTTTATAATAAAGAATTGAGCACTCAAAACCACAAAGAAAAGCAAGTGTAAGACAAGTAAAGGTCATAGACTGGTATGGTATTTTACAAATAGTAAAACAAATCTAGCCACATGAAGGGAAATAAGATCACTTTGTTTGGATAATAACTAAATAAAATGGATTTGGGATTCCTGGTAGATGAGGTATTAACCACCACAATCCAGGAATATATATAAAAAAACCATGGTTTACTGTTCCAGAAATTCCTTCACCCAAACTCTTTTTCAGATAGAATTCCCAGTAGTTCCTTGGGTGAGATTTTGGGAAGGCATTAAATCTGGCTCTGGTTAGGGTTTTTCTAAATTTGGGGACAGCTGTTTGGCTTAGATGTGTAGCTGGTTTGAAAAAAAAGTGAATGGCTCCCAAGAATAATTTTTCCTGCTATTGTAGTGGCATCTAATTGGGTTTTCAGATCCTTGACCCAGTGTTTTAACGGCTGCCTCTGCATGTTTATAACCCATTGTTAGTATTGATGGAGTGAGAAACTATACAAATCTGGTTTGGTTACATCAGCCTAGTGGCATAAGATTATATTAGGAACACATTATGAGACTTAAAATTTGTTCTTTAAAAATTTGCTAGCTAAGAATATTTTTCTGTAGTATTATTAACTACAGAGAAAAATAATTATCTCTTGTGTAAGTAAAGGATTACAGAATTATCACAATTTCTGTGCATTTTGGACAATGTGGCAAGAGTTTGATGGACAAATAAAATATCCCTAAATAAATGTTGACTTGTTTGGGTGCTCATTCAGGTGTACATTTGGCAGCACTTATTAATAGTTCAGTTTTTGCATGATTAATTTTGATGCTTCTGTATTATAATATGAAGCAAAAGCATGTGAAGCTTGCTCTAGAGTCTAGTCCATTTGGTGTCTAAAATAACAGCCCAGTATCATCAACTAAAACAAAATATTTGTTATTTTTTTGTCCTGCATCTCCTTAAAGCATATAGTAATTTTTTTTTATAAAATAACTTTCTGCCCTATTTGAAACTATCTCGCATGTTTTACTATGTTGTAAATTTTATAGGGACATTAGGTCGATCTATATTTTGCCCTAATAGATAAATTCCTTGAGTATCCAAGTAAATGTTATTTGAACCTTCTTCAGGATGTAAAATCATTCCTTAGTGTGCATTAGCTAAATTTTGTGTTACCACAATGAAAGTAAGACAAGATTGGTTAAAGACATATTCACCTTTGCTTTAAATATTACTTTATGTTTGAAATACCCTAACTAATAAATCATTAGGGAATACATGGTTTTTATTTTATACCTATAATGTTTTAGATTTATATTACCTGGATAACAAGTGCATTAATATAATAATAAAGGTCAATATTATATTATGTGATATTTGCTAGTATATTGTATCTATTTGGTTCATTCTGTTTTTGTACTTTTACATTTCGCTGATCATAGACCAAATAAATATTATTCTGTTGCATTGAAGTTTCTGTCTTAAAGTTCAACTGCCACAAACTCAAAGTTCAACTGCCACAAGTAGCCAGATAATAAGTAGTTATTTTTAGGAGATGGAGCTCTAGGTATTCTGCACAAGAGATTTTATATATATATATGGAAAACTAAAATTGGATCACTACTAATTACTAAGAGGAAATTTTGAATGAAGTTGTGTCTCCCTGGTTTCTTGGGTATAACAGGATAAAAGGAAAGTTGTATTTTCTGAGAGCATTTATGAGAGATATTGTCAGCAGTGAAATCTGAACAGCATGGTAGCCTAGAGGTAAAGACTCTCACTTCCCACTCTGAGGGTTGAGAGTTCAATCCTAGGCAACGACAAATGCACAAAGAGAAACTACCTGCTGCAAACTCTGTATGCTCCGCTCATTTAGTCACCCTGATTCTACCCCAAATAATGGGATTACAGAGTCATAAAAAAATTGTAAGCAGTGAAATTTGATTATAATGTTCTCTGGCTTCTGTATTATAGACCAATTGTTTGAAATCTTCCTGATTAACAAATTTCACTGACCATAGTTTGTCAGAATTTTCTGATATAGATTTTTGTGGATCTACAGCAGAGTTATTATTTGCTTTCTAGAAGTAAACTCTTTACTTTCTCCTAAGACTTTTGAAGATAACATCAGGAAAAACAGGACTGTTATCAGTAATTGGATCAAATACGCACAATGGGAAGAAAGCCTCAAAGAAGTACAAAGGTAATTCTTGACAACCATTTTTCAGATTCTGAATATGAATATCTAATAATGCCCACTTCTATAGGAATTGAATTGGGTATGCATTAATTTCAATAATGTGTTGTTTTCAGGGCTCGTTCCATCTACGAGCGGGCTCTAGATGTGGACTACCGAAATGTAACTCTTTGGCTGAAATATGCCGAAATGGAAATGAAGAATCGCCAGGTTAATCATGCACGAAATATCTGGGATCGGGCTATCACTATTTTACCAAGAGTTAATCAGTTCTGGTAAGCTAAACACTTTCATTAAGTTTCACATAAGTGTTTGTATGTATGTGTGTGTGAGAGAGAGAGAGGGAGAGAGAAACAACAGCGATTTGTTGTTTTACAGATTGGTGAAAAAAGGTTGAAGCATTGATTATGACGCTACTGTTATTTGCTGGATTTCCTCCAGGGGCTCAAATTGACATTCATAAGATTCCCTCTAGTTTTACCTCTGTAACAAGATTATGAAATAAAATGGATTGAAGAACAGTGATTTACGTATAATCAACAGTCACCTTCTGTGGCTGAAAGCAGTGTAATTTGAGTGGTCCTAGTTTGACCTTATAACTGTAAGACCTCATTAACTCTCTTGTCATACACTTGATAACCAATTTTCTTGTGGCAATTCCAGTTTTGGAATCCATTACTATAGGCTTAGTATGCTAAGGACCAAATATGCAAACACTCCAGATCCAAGTTGAATATGAGATTGCTTTTTAAAAAAGTTTACTTATGAAGAATTATTTTTACTAGTTGTAAATAGGTCTGTTATTTGTAACTCTAAATGACACAATCTTCCTTTTTTTTTTATTTTAAAAGGTACAAGTATACTTATATGGAAGAGATGCTGGGGAATGTTGCAGGAGCCCGCCAAGCGTTTGAGCGTTGGATGGAATGGCAGCCAGAGGAACAGTCATGGCATTCCTATATTAACTTTGAACTAAGATATAAGGAAGTGGATAGAGCACGTTCCATTTATGAAAGATATATCCTTTTAAATTAAGGTTTGGATTAAATCAGCATTTTTTTGTTTTCATTTTTGTTTGTATTTTGCATTTCCAGTTTTGTGTAAAAGGAGCATCTTTTGATTTGTTACGCACAGAGGTTAGCTTTACAATATAGATTTTCCCATAAAAATCCACATGCACAAACATTAATTGGTGAAGAAATGTATGCACCAGCAATGCTAGTACATTAAGTTGCATCTATGTATAAATTGTTTGGGTCTTTTAATTGCTCATCTTGCCACCTTGTTTTCCCAAGGAAAAAAATTGTTTTTATATAATTTTGGGAATTATTGGCTGCAGGTTGATCTTATACTAAACCTTTCAATGAAATACATCCTGTTTCAAGTTCCTTAATGTCTTTTACTTGTCATGGTCCATCCCGATGTTAAGAACTGGATCAAATATGCTCGTTTTGAAGAAAAACATAGTTATTTTGCACATGCAAGAAAAGTATTTGAAAGAGCTGTGGAGTTCTTTGGAGAAGAACATATGAATGAACATTTGTATGTTGCATTTGCCAAATTTGAAGAGAACCAAAAAGAGGTAACATTTTGTTTATTAGCTTGCATTTTATAAGCAGCATTATGGCTGCTTCTTTAAAACAATTTTTGTTTTCCATTTATGTTTTTATACAATTTTAAAATGCCCTGTGTTTGAATCTCTCTGAGTGGTTTACAATAAAACACGCTATAAACATAATATACAAGCTTATATTCTTACAGCAAAACATTTTGTTCTGCTGGGTGTAAGCTATCTTTATGAATTGTCCCTTTGCTTTTCTTCTCACATGATCTCAACAGAGATCTGTTGTCTCTGCTATGCACGTGGATTCTCTTAGAGAGGGAAATTACTTTGAGTGACTGAGTATGTACTTCTGGAATATCAGGAGCCAAGTAAGCAGGAGAAAGTGAGATCAGTCTTCTGGGGGATAAGAGGGTGATGGAAGAGACCTGTTAGAGGTGATAAGGGGCTTGGCAGCCACCTAATGCTGATCTTCATTCTGATGTCTTAAAGAAGCAATCTCATTTAGTCTCTAAAGTGTTTAAGACTACAGTTGATTTTTTTTAAAGCTAACTGAATTAAGCCTATTTAATTAAATATTAACCCCAAATTCTCTTGACTTAAACTAATATATACAGTTTTGACTATAATATTGAATTTCTCAATATTTTTATATTTCTATCATAGATGTGATCTATAACAATACAAATTATGTAAAATAATTGTATTGTATATAAACTGATATAAACAACATTGTGTCCCCCCCCCCAAGTTATGTGTTTGTCTGGTTTTATTTTTTTGATATAAAACTTTATTCTGATGTATACTAATCCTGGCCTATTATTCATTTGTATAATACTCCTCAAGATTTCAAAAAGATTTTTCACAGAATCTGTTTTAACTGAAAATCAAGAGTTACTGAATATACTAATAAAGGTCAGGTTAATCTTCTATTTTAAAGTGCTCTTTTTTCCTCCTTTTTTTCTTTCTTCTAGTTTGAACGGGTGCGAGTAATATACAAATATGCCCTGGACAGAATTCCAAAACATGAAGCACAAGAGCTCTTCAAAAATTACACAATTTTTGAAAAGAAATTTGGGGACCGAAGGGGAATTGAGGATATTATTGTTAGCAAGAGGAGATTCCAATATGAAGAAGAAGTAAAAGTGAGTGCCTGAACTCTAGGGGAATTGTACACTTTAATAGTTCCCTTGATTGCTTTTGTTGCACTATAAATATGGAACGTAAGTATGGCATAATTGTAATAGTGTTGAACTACAGCCAGAATACCTGTGTTCAAATTGAAACTTGCCACAGAAACTCACCTGCTGACTTTAGACAAATCATTATCTTTCAGCCTGAAGTTTGTTTATTTATTTATTGGTTCGATTTATATGCCGCCCTTCTCCAGAGACTCAGGGCGGCTTACAATGCATTAAGCAATAGCCTTCATACTTTTGTATATGCCTGCTTAGTAGGGCTTTCGGCCCCCACAAGCGGTGTTCTTTTTATACAAAGTCAGCTTATTGCCCCCACAATCCAGGTCTTCATTTTACCTACTTCGGAAGGATGGAAGGCTGAGTCAACCTTGAGCGTGGTGAGATTTGAACTTGCAGTAATTGCAGGCAGCTGGCAGCTTTAAGTGCTACTTAACAGCACTTTAGTCCACTGCGCCACCAAGGCGCCTTAAGTTCTTCATAGAGTTATTGTTCTGTGGATAAAATGGAAGAAAGTACTACTCTCTATACCACACAACATAAACCGCAGAATGAAAAAAGGATGCATCAAATAAATAGTACATTTCTCATGGTATTTCATTATTATCAGTATACTTATTAATTTTTTTCTTTTTTACCTGTTATTTTGTACTAAAACCGTTTTTTCTTTTAAAAAATAGTAGACATTATTTTCTTAAACTTTACAAATTATGTTCATAAAAACCACAATTGTTGCACCACTACTGTCTTTGTTTCTTATGTTGAATCCTTAGTAGTTCTGAAATTGGATACAGCAATACTAATTGTCACCATTTCTCCTGCAAGGTGACTCAGTTAGTTGAATTGATGAATTAACAGAAACCCAATCAGTAAACTGTGCTTTGATGATTACATTGATAATTTTGTACCATGCTTGTACTTCTGAAAGTATTCCCCATTTATCTTGAAAGGCTAATCCACATAATTATGATGCTTGGTTTGATTATCTGCGTCTGGTGGAAAGTGATGCGGATTCTGATACAATACGTGAAGTTTATGAAAGAGCCATTGCCAATGTTCCTCCAATTCAAGAAAAGCGACACTGGAAGAGATATATCTATCTGTGGATCAATTATGCACTCTATGAAGAGCTAGAGGCAAAGGTAAAAGAAAATGACCCATGAATCTTGCATCTTCTTTGATTAAATGAGGCTTGATCTAGGAAATTTGGTACTGTACAATCTATTAGCATTCTTACACTCTGATGAATCATTCATATAGCTGACTAGATTCCTAAGAAAATCATAGAATACAAGAAAGCAGACTAAGTTATATACCGTATTTTTTGGAGTATAAGACACATCTCCCCCCCCCCCCGAAGAGGCTGAAAATTTGGGTGCGTCTTATACTCCGAATGTAGCTTTTTCGAAGCTGTTTTTCAGCCCTAACGCGCTAGCGAGTGAAGTGATCTTCCAAGCTTTGCCTGCTCCTTCCAACTCAGCTGTGTTTTAGAAGCTTTTTTTCAGCCCTAACAAGGCGCTAGCGAGTGAAGCGAGTACTTTGCCTGCTTTTCTCATTGCTGCTCCCTCTCAGCTGTGCTTTAGAAGCTGTTTTTTAATCCCCAAGAAGGGGATAAAAAGCGTGCTGGCGCGCTCAAAACCAGCAAACTAATGTGCTGAAGCTGACCAGACTAAGGACGCTAGCCAGATGAATACCTGGTAGGCAGATTTTTCCCCCTATTTTCCTCTCCAAAAACTAAACTGCATCTTATACTCCGAAAAATATGGTAGTTCATCGCCATACATTTAAAAAAAACAGCTTCTGCAACTGTCACTAACAGTCAAAACAGTATAAATTGTGCATTAATTTAGGAAAACAGTTCCAATTTTTTTAAAAAAGACTTCAATCATTACTTAAAACAAGAATGATGAGGCAAAAGGATTATGGTGTTCTTTATAAACCCTCCCCCCAACACTTAAGCATTGTGAAATCTAATTTATTTCTTTATGGCATATAACTATTTTGATAGGTTGGAAAATGCCTTGCATACATATTTTGTCCAATCATATTCAGTGTTGCCATGCATTAAAAGGTAGTAATAAACCTGTGTGAGGCAATGTTTTCATATGCAGTGTGCCATTGCTGAAAAAAAATCACTATGAGTATTACATAGCAAGTGAGGATCTATGAAAGCATTATTGGTGCATCATTGATTGGATTATGTGTCATCAAATCAGTGTTCACACTCCACGGCCATATAGATTTTTTTCCATAACTTAGTATATAATTGATCATACCACATTGATATTTGATACATTTTTATTATATTTTATAGCTGCCCATCTCATGAAAGTGGTTCTTATATATCCCAAGTTCTCAACACTATAAGGCTTTAAAGAGGCTTGCCACCTCTTTAAATTAGCAGTAAATTTTTAAAATTACTGATGTGGTGTGCTCTGAAATTATAGTTCTAGACAGGTGAGCAACTTTATTTTGCTCTACACAGACAAAAATGTTAAGAGGTCAAGTTGGGAATGAAGATTTCAAGGGTTTTTCAAGTAGTAAGAAATATTATAAATGATAAAACGTAGCTAGATCAGTGGTGGGTTGCTCCCGATTCTGTCCGGTAGTAAAAGTGGCGGGAAGCTCTGCCCACCCGCCAGGACATCATAATTGACAATCTGCGCTCCCATTGCGAACCGGTAGTAAAGGTAAGTAGAACCCACCCCTGAGCTAGATGTCATTTTTTCCTAAAATATTTTGAACTGCACTTGCCTGGAAGCCTTATTCCAACAGTATCACATAAATTGACTTGTGTTTTAGGATCCAGAGAGAACAAGACAGGTGTATCAAGCATGTATTGAACTCATTCCTCACAAAAAGGTATTTATCTTTGTTGTGTGTATTGTGTCTTAATTAAGGATGCATCCTTTTTCATTAAATTCATCCACATGGTTCCAATTCCAGTCTGATCATATTATATATGTTATTGCAATGTAATTTTTATATTACCAGCAACCTCCTACTTAAGAATTATCTTCATGTAAGATAGATAACACTGTTTTTTATGTATTTAGAGAGTGAATATGTGTATAACTACATAGGGGTAGATTTCAGGGGGACGGAGCAAATATTAAAATAGGATCATCTAGTCCAGTGGTTCCCAACCTTTCGTTCACTACGGGCCCCCTTTAAATGCTTTTTGTGGCCATGGACCATGGCCATAGACCACCAAGTCTTAACTTAGGATTTAAATCATAAGATCTTCAAGCCTTCACGGACACCGTGATGACGTTGCAACCACCCAGGGGTCTGCAGACCACAGGTTGGGAACCACTGATCTAGTTCACCTACTAGTCAATGCCCACCTTAATTCTTGTTAATTAGGAAGATTTTCACCTAAAGCATGCAAAACCTACAATTTAGAGTCTAAAACAAGAATAGACATTGTTTTGAAATATTTTAAATTTTTTTTATCAGTCCTAACTACCATTGTCAGAACATCTGAAGGGCATTATATTCCTGATTCAGATCTCTCTATAACTCTGGATGAATCATTTCCTTGAGGTTTTGGTGTAGGCCCTGTATGGAATAAAAATCCTACTCTAAATTGAAGATATTTTGTAAGTATTGATACAATGTAAATGCAGTGCTTTGCACAATCATGTGCACTGTATGAATATGATAAATCCAAGCGTATAGAATGCAAGCAATTGTACATCAAACAGTGCAGTGGAAATTACAAATAAACATTGCAATTTCTCAAACCATTTATTGATCTATGGATTAACTAGGTTTTTTTTTTTAAAAAAAATCTCTATTTACCAACTGTTTTGGAACTCAGTTTCTAGAAAATAGTCGCATAGTTACATTTTTTATTATATTGGGCAAGTTTATTATAAATAACACCTGTGGTAAGATGAATTATAGGTGTAAGGGAGCTGGTTTATGCTTTGTAATACCACAGATATAATATGGAAAATAATTTAAGAGATTTGAAAAATTCATGTAATTAATATTCTAGTTCTGTGATGGCGAACCTATGGCATGCGTGCCCCAGGTGGCACATGGAGCCATATCAGTGGGCACACGCGCTCAGCTCTGGCCCACATGTGCGCACTGGCCAACTGATTTTCAGGCCTTCTGGGCCCACCAGAAGTCGGGAAACATGCTGTTTCCGGCCTCTGGAGGGCCTCCAGGGGTGGGTGGGAAAGGCCCGTTTTTCGCTCTCCCCAGACTCCAGAGCCTTTCTAGGAGCCTGTGGGGGCCAGAAATGGCCAGTTTCCCAACTGGGGAGAGCGAAAAACGGGCCTACTGGGCCCATTGCATACCAAAAGCGGGGGGAACGCGGAGGGGGTTGCGCGTGCATTCATGGGGGGGTGCATAGAATTATGGATGTGGGCACATGTGCGTGCAAACCCCCCCCCCGCGCTCCCCCTGCTTTTGGCACACAATAGCAAAAAGGTTAGCCATCACTGTTCTAGTTAGTGGATTTTCTAGTTCAATAGAAGCAATTTATATTATTTTGAAAAGTAGGAGTTAAATGTATCTTCAACTCCTGTCTATAATCAAGTAGATATTGATAAGGGAATAGGGAAAGGAAAAATCTGATTTGTTTCAGCAAGGCAATCTGTACAGTACAGGTAGTCTTCAGATTATGACTGGTCACTTAGTGACTGTTTGAAGTTACAACAGACTGAAAGAGGGGGACTTACGACCTAGATTCAAAGTTTTAAATAAAGCTCCCTCATAATTACATTATTACACACTGTCCCAAAATAGGTCATTTTATTGACAAATTATAGTGGTGACATTTTAGAGAGGTGAGATGCCACATGCAGCCTCCCCCCAAAAGTTGCCCATCACTGCTACAGCAAATCAGAGTTGTATAGATGTGTGAGTGTGTGAGTGTGCATTTAATTTATTCACAGAGTTTTAAGACACATTGCTTCTTCCAAAATAACAAAATTTCTGAATCAAGGTTTCTGATGAAGTTATATAAACCTAAATTATATGAGAGAAAAACCTTCCAAGACTGAAAATATTTCTCTCTTCCTTGCCTTTTTTGGGGGGGAGGGGTGGGGGAAGAAACTCCTGAAAAATTAAGGAGAGTCCCTTCTGAAATGTTTCCCATCTTATTCCCCCTTCTGTGGACTGAAACTTCTTATATCCCAGTTGTCCAGTCTCCCTCCTGTCTTCCAAGTTATTCCCATATACTTTTACAATATAAATAAATCATTCATTTATTATGTATCCCTTTCTTCAGACTCCGTATCAAATGATAAATTTTATGAAACTAGAAAATAAATCAGCTAGTCATTAGATTATATACTAGAAGTTTAGATTATAATTGAATGTATAATTATAAACGGGTTTAGATTATAACTGAGTGGTCACAATTAAAGTGCATGAGAACCAAAATAAAACTAATAGAAATTAATTATAATTTGTCTTCCTGTTTTCAGTGACATATTGTCCAGTTTTGTGTTTTCAGAAATCATGTTGTCAGTCAGCCTTATGGGCTGATGAAATAACATGCTAAAGATACTCTGTATGCATATTCTGTTCTAATGGGTTTCAAGAAAATTGCTTTATTGAGGAAACCAGGCGACTGTGAGTTCTAGTCCCTCTTTAAGTATGAAATCCAGCTGGGTGACTGGGCCAGACACTATTCAGCCCAACACACCTCATAGTATTGTTATTGTGGGGAAAATAGGAGGAAGAAGGAGCATTATCTATGTTCGCCACCTGGAGTTATATATAAAAATAATGAAGGTGGGATAAAAATGAATAAATTAAAAAATGCCAAAGATTTCTGGTCTTAGTCATGTTTTGTATGTATGAAAGCATTGTTTTTAATTTAGCCAACTGAAATTTAGCCAATTTTTTATACTATTTCTCCACTCAGTTTACATTTGCCAAAATATGGTTGCTCTGTGCACAGTTTGAAATCAGGCAGAAGAATCTCAGTCTTGCCAGGCGAGCATTGGTAAGTAAAATGAAGTGACTTTCTTGTTCTAGAAATATATTGATGAAATTGGTTGATCTCTCTTGAAAGCAGTGGAACAGTAGAACCAGTGGAATAGCTTGCCTCTAGAAATCATGGGCGCTCCAATACTGGATGTTTTTAAGAGAGTCTGGACAGTTACTTATCTAAAATTGTATAGGTTCTCCTGCTTGAGCAGGGGGCTGGATTAGAAGACCGCCAATGTCTCTTCCAGCTCATTTTATTCTATTCAATACTTTAAATTCTTATTGGCTTATCGTAATATGTCTAGAAATTTTAAAAAATCTGATGAAAAGTACCAATACTTTTTATGTTGTATCAGACCAAGGCTATAGCCTTATAGAAGTAATTTAATGTTTATTAAGGCCTCTGTCCTAAATAGTTGGTAGACAGCTGAATTTATATTTGTTGCTATAGGGCAGGGGTGTCAAACTGGATTTCTTTGAGGGCTGGATCAGCATTGTAGTTCTCCTCTGCGGGCCGGGGGGTGGGGTCGGGTTGTTCTTTGGCCTGGTTTTGGGCCCAGTTTCGGTCGGCAGAGTGCTGCAGGAGGCCATGGAGTGTGAAAATGAGGCATGGGGGGCCACACATGGCCCGTTTTAGCCGCCAGAGGCACCGCAGGCCGGTCCCTTCATATTTCCAGGCCAACCCCGTGGGCTGGATTTAAGCACGCCGCGGGCTGGATCCAGCCTATGGGCCTTGACACCCGTGCTATAGGGTGAACTTCTGCATTTCCTATTGGAATAGATGTTCTACCACTTTTTGCCATTTACATTTTGTTCCACAGAGAAAAACTCATTTGGCAAGTTGATGGTAATTTCTAAAATGTATAGAAGGGTCAGGTCCTCCTAACAAATTGATTTTCCCTATAAAGAATGTTCAAGAGACTTTTTTTATATACAGATGGTACCATTAAAGAAGTCTGTTTCTAGTCAATACCGTACTCTCTTTCTTTTTTCTATTATTGTTAAATTTTATTGACTTCCCAACTCTAATGGCTTCTTTTACAGATAACATTTTTTAAAATGTTGAAATGTGCCTGCCAAATGTTGAAATAAAGCTACCATGCTCATAATAGTTTTTGGTCTTTGTAGACCATTTTAATATACAAAAAAACCACAATAAGATGTAAGTGTAATAATTCAAAAAGTAGGCCTTTAGAGCACAGATACTGCATTTTTGGAACAAGTCTGAAAAAAATGTATTTCAGTTTTTATGCTTGTATAACTGCACTTTTCTTGAGAAGCTTTGAAGAACTTATTCCTTCTTTGTAGGGGACATCTATAGGTAAATGTCCAAAGAACAAGCTATTTAAAGGCTACATTGAACTGGAGCTACAACTGCGAGAGTTTGATCGTTGTCGGAAACTCTATGAGAAGTTTTTAGAGTTTACACCTGAAAACTGCACATCATGGATCAAATTTGCTGAATTAGAAACTATTCTTGGTGATATTGACCGAGCCAGAGCTATATATGAACTAGCTATTGGCCAGCCTCGATTGGATATGCCAGAGGTAAGAGAGGTTCTGGGGAATGCTGCTCTCAATAATGTATTTTTGTCAGATACAGAGGGAATACATAGGAGACATATATTATTTTTTAGTTAAGTCTGTGATTCTGTCATTCTTAAGGAAGCTTGCGCAGGGACATGCTACCCATTTGTTAACAAAAGACTCAATATGGCGAGGGTGGGATGGGACTAGTAGTATTGGTAGTGTTGAAATCACTGTTCTAGTTGCCTTGATGAACTAGATTGGCTAGAAGTGGACTGCTTGCTCAGGTTGAGCTGGCTACCCAGATAGGAGGAAGCTGCAGATAAATGGGCTGGAATGCACCCAATGGATGAGGGAAAGCAGAGCAGCACTGGCTGCTATCCAGAACTAAGTGTAGCTGTTACATTTGGAAGCACAGACTGGCATTGTAATCAACTAAATTCCTATTGTTTCATGACAGGCTCATCTTACCCCTTCATGGAATTCAGGCAGCAGGTATAATTGGTCAGGCATACCAGGCACCATGCCACTTTGAAGGGGGCTGAGGAGGAACAAAAAGAACTGCTCAGCAAACTGATTTTTTAAACAGGCTCAATAAACCCTCTTTCATCCATTAATACAGGGCTCACATAAACTTACTCTGGCATTTTCCTTGGCTTATAGCAATTAAAAATAATGCAGTTAAAATCACGAAAAATTAAATTTATCTAACAAATAGAAGCTTTGGGCAAAGAGGGTATTTTGTTATTTTTCTAAATACTAGGAAAGTAGGGACCAAACATACTTCGGTAGAGAGTGCATTTAGAGCCTGGGAGTCAGATAGGCGAATGCCCTCTCCTTCATGCTAGGTAGCTGAGTTTCTGGGAGTGAGCAAATCTTCAAAAGGATCTCTCCTACTTCCCAAGTAATTGAATGGGTTCATAGTAGGAGAAGCAATCCTTCAGATAGCCACAAACAGCAGGGCTTGCTATCTCAGGTGAAATGGATGGTATACAAGTCAGACAAATAAATGTTGTTTAGGGTTTTAAAAATTAGCATTAGCACTATAAATTGTGCCTGATAACCAGATGTGACTAGTGCAGATCTTTCAGTACCTCTTACTAGTTAACAGCTTTCCTTCTACGTTTTGCATGGGTTGCAATTTCCCGGCATTTTTCAAGGCTAGCTCCTTGGAAAGAGGTTAGTTGCACTAGCCAGAATGCTGCATTAGAAAGAGTGTATATAATGAAGGTACGGATAAGTCACTAGGTCTGACAGGCTTAGGAACTGCAATGTGAACAATAGCCATTGTTGTACAGATTTCTCCTTGCCCCTATATTCATCTACATATTGTGACTGCTGAGTGGCATGGGGCATTCCAAATGTCATACCAGAGTACCATACCCTTCCAAACAAGCTTTACCTTTATCTCTAAGCCCGCCTTTGTCTTTAACCACAATACCTCCATCATGTCTGGATTTAATTTTAGCTTTCTTTCTCTGTTTCAGTCCATTGTTGAGTTCATGAAACTTTCAAAGGGTCTAGCTACCTTGGAATTAGATGGTAAGGGGCAATAGAGCTTAGTGTCATCTGCATAATGATGGCACCTCACTCCAAATCACCTGCCCCATCAGTCTCATTTTAAATGGTATAAAGACAAGATAGAACCCTATGGAACAGCATGGGGTTGTATGAACTGTAATTTCACAGTACTGCCTTCTGGTTATGTCGTCCCAGAAAGAACTAGAACCACTCAAAACAGTCCTGTCAGATGGCCCAGAAGACCACTGAAAACCATTGGGCAATTCAAGAGATCGTCCCTCATATATTTTCCATTCTAGGTCTCCCACCTAGGTTAGTAGAGCGGTCTCAAAACCATATCCTAGATGAAATAACCAATTAGAATTGACCCTGATAATTTCCATTCAGAGTTCAACTCTGGAGGATTGTTAAATGAGATATATCAAGGAGTTGGTCTCAAACCAAGGAAACAAAGATACAGTTTTATCTTTAGTTATGCAAATTGACTAGGTGACTTTGGACCAGCCACAACTCTTACTGCAACATACACCACAGAGTTGATGATACAGGGGGGGAAAATGAAGAGATAATCAAGATAACCCCCCTTTAAAAAGTACATAAAATAATACAGTTGTTCAGATTTTTTTCTCTCTGTGCATATCCGTTGTTTTAGGCACTTTTTATATGGATTTTTTTGGGTAAATTTGCTTTTACATTCCAAGTTGGGAGAACAGTGTTTTCTTCCCCTAGGTACTTTGGAAATCTTACATAGACTTCGAAATTGAACAAGAAGAATATGAGAATACAAGAAATTTGTACAGGAGGTTGCTTCAGCGAACACAGCATGTTAAGGTAAGGATTAACTCAGGCAATGCTGAATTCCATTCTGGCTGTAGTAGCACTATTTGTGTATACACACTTTTGAAACTGCAATAAATAAGATGGCAGCTGGATTTTAATTCAGGCAATTTTAAGTTAGTTTTTCTTAATTGATTTTTTTGACTTTTATTTTATGACTAGTTTTACAAAAATAGAAAAACCGATTAGAACAAAAGAAAAGTTGCATCTAAACTTATGTATATCATAAATTAAGTATATTTTACATATTTGTTCTATTTAAATAGTGCTGCTCTTAAAGGTGCAAAAAGTTTTCAAATTTGGAACAGCTGAGAAGGCTAGTATGATAAGGCCCATATCTGCCTTTTTAAAAATACTTACTGGAATGACCTTCTGTGCTTCTATTGTACTTCAGGGAAATGGTTTCACCTTTAGAGTAGCATAAAAGAGTTGATTCACTTCTAATCATGTTATCCAGCCCTATTTTGAGAATAAAAACTGAAGCATTTTTAAAATGTTAAAATCTAATTGAAATAGAATTCCCATTTTTATGTTAAATATTGATGGAGGTATTATTTAATGAGAAAAAACATGAGTGGAGAATTCAGTTCTGTTCATTTTTAAAATAAGGACTTACTTAGTAGAGACGTGCTTTGGACTCATCAGTTACTGTATACCTTTATCCATAAAAGAATCTCAGGCTGCTGGACAGCATTGACTTGACTCTGGTAGCTGCATGGCACAGGCTTGCTGTTCTCTATATCTGCTTTATACTTTGTTCTTTCTCATCTTATTTGAAAATAGAAGATCAACATTTGACTCCCGTTTTCTTTTCCTTATTCTCTTTTAAACATGCTTCAGTTTCGGTAATACGTTTCCTTTGGAGAAAAAAAATTACTATTAAGTAATTTTATATAGTGCTTACAAGTCCTAATCTAAAATAGTCTGACATTCTTTCTAAAAGCTTTATTTCGAATGACCAAAAATGTACAGTTCTATACAGTTTGAATATCATTAATTGAGAGAAAGACTATAGTAAGTATGTGACAACTTATTGTACATACATAACTAATTTTTTATCATAATATGCTCTTTCTTATTTTAGGTATGGATCAGTTTTGCTCAATTTGAACTCTCAGCAGATAAAAAGAACAATTTACCACGATGCCGGCAGATATATGAAGAGGCAAATAAAACAATGAGAAATTGTGAGGAGAAAGAAGAGAGACTTATGCTCTTGGAATCTTGGAAAAATTTTGAAGAGGAGTTTGGAACAGAATCCAGCAGAGAACGAGTAGACAAACTCATGCCTGAAAAAGTCAAGAAGCGGAGAAAACTTCAGGCTGAAGATGGGGTAAGACTTCCACATGGAAATCTGGCTTGCCACAAGTACTTTATATAGTATAGCAGTGTAACTATCGCAGGTAGACCGTAACAAATTAGACAGTTTTTCCCTCTTCCTTTTGCTTATTCTTTCTGACTAATTAATTAGAATAAATTCAAAGAATCTACAGAATCTAATGCTGTACTCTGTGATGTACGTGTGTAAAGGATGCAGCAGTTTATTAATATTTCATAACAAAGCTTAGTGTTCAGGAAATATTCAGGAAAAATCATCCCATCTATTAGTATCTGTTCAGATAGCATACCGTATTTTTCGGACTACAAAACGCACCAGTGTATAAGACGCACCAAGATTTCAAAGAGGTAAGCAAGAAAAAAAAAGGTTTTGCCCTCCCCGGCCCACCCAGGAGCACTCTGCAGGCTTCCCAAACCCTCTGCGCATCCCGTTTTTTGCAAAAACTGGGTGTGCAGAGGGTTTGGAGGCCTGCAGAGTGTTCCTGGGTGGGCTGGGGAGGGCAAAAATGCAACACGTGGGGGGTTTGGGAGGCCAAAAATGGACGCGTTTTTAGCAAAAATAGGGACGTTTTTGCCCTCCCCAGCCCACAGGAGCACTCTGCAGGCCTCCCAAAGCCACTGAGTGCCCTGTTTTTTTGCAAAAAATGGCGTTTTTTGCCCATTTTTTGCAAAAACTGTGTTTTTGCCCTCCCCAGCCCACACGAGCCCTCTGCAGGCCTCCCAAAGCCTCTGCGCACCCTGTTTTTGCGAAAAATGGGCCCGTTTTTCACAAAAACAGGACACACGGGGCGGGGCTTCGGGAGGCCAAAAATGGCTATGCTCAGTGTATAAGATGCACCAATATTTCCACCTTCTTTTGGGGAGGGGGAGTATGTCTTATACTCGGAAAAGTACTGTAAGTTTCTGAACATCCAATAGAGAGACAAAGTATTTCTTTAGTTCTCTGGGATTTTTCAAACAAGTAATATCTACAGCCTAAATTGGTTTTTAATGCACTTTGTAAAAAGCAGGCTAGGAAAACAGCAAATGCTGTGTGGTAATGTCACATAGTTTAAAACAATTCTTGTAATAATGGAGGTTTGATTATGTCCACACTTTTCTTTCTAGTCTGATGCCGGCTGGGAAGAATATTATGATTATATCTTCCCAGAAGATGCTGCCAATCAACCCAACCTCAAACTGCTTGCAATGGCTAAACTCTGGAAGAAGCAGCAACAGGATGAAAATCCAGAGAGAGATCCAGACAAGGATATTGATGAAAGCAGTCCCTAACAATATCTTTGATTTCTTCTCCTTTATATTGTACAGGTTTTGCTAATAAACTATTTTACAAAAAAAATTGCTAATGCTTGAGGTGAAAGAGGCATGTTTTAAACATAAGCATTTAAAGACTAATGTATATAGCTGTGATTTACTCATAATATTGTAGAGCAGAAAAATCAGCAACAAGGAGTAACTGCCCTTTGAAGAAAGATAAGACAGGTCTCATGATCTTTAGCTTAGAAGAAAGACAAATGAAACGACATTATGTACATAAAATTGATAGAGTGAACAAAGATTTTTTTCCCATTCTCATTACTAGAATCTGGGATCATTCACTGAATAGCTGGAGGTTTGAGGCCAAACAATTATTATTATTATTATTATTATTATTATTATTATTATTATTATTATTATTATTATTCAAATTTCTATACCGCCCTTCTCCTTTCGGACTCAGGGCGGTGAACAGCCAAGATAAAAACATCTATACATAACATCACAGTTAAAAATAAAGTTAAAATAATTTATAAATTTGGCCCATAATTTAAAACTTGTCAATTAAAATCAATATTAAAATTTTAAAACTAACCCTAAAATCAAGACAGACCGGCTCTCAGCATATCTCAAAATCTTGTAATTTTACAAGATTATATTCCGTCTCAAAATTCAAACATTGTAAGGGACGTGATCAGGTAATTTTAATTGCAGCACAGTGCAAATCAAATAAGCTGTTGCCACTATTAACTTCAAAGGATGAGGGAATAAGATGTTCAGAGTCTATCAGAGATTTTAGAAACTGGCTAAGGGTAGCTTATAAAGAATAGCACATCTGAGGTCAGCTTATCACAGAAGCAAGTACAAAAGACAGCTTTTGTCCAAGAAATTCATGATCTTCAGCCAAGCACTGCTGATCTTCAGCCAAGTACTTTCTTGGAAATGTGCTTGTTTACCTACTTCAAATAACCTACTTCTGAGTAGAGTAGTTTTTCTAAGGTGTTCTGACAGCTATCTGGTACTTCTTTAGTCTCTCCACTTCCATTTTTAGCTTGGAGGCAGCAGTGCTCTTATGGATCTGCTGGCTATGCTTCCCTTTCACAGTCAGAAGAAACTGATTCAGACAAGACCTTTGGGCCCTTAAAATTAGTCAAGCTCTTGTTTCTGTTCCTCTACTGCTTCCTTGCAAAAGAAGCCTTCTGAGGAAGCCATTATGTCATTCTTTGCTCCCTGTTCCAACACTCCAGGATGTTCCTAATGCACATCTTCCCTCATGGGCATTCAAGAGGCAGTAAATAAAAAATGTAGCTCATAATATTGTGATACAAATTCTGCCCTTGTGTACTTGTATTCTTGGGCAAGTACGAAAGTGTGAAGCTTGTGTCATGTTTATTTGGAACTGAGGCTGGCTGTTGATTGGTATGTTATTTGACTTTTTGGGGATAGATGACAATTTCCATTTTATTAAGAATAATTATGGGGCCAAAAAGCATTCTTGTAAATAAAAATGATGTTAAATATTGGCACTTTGTAGCATGCCTATTTTCCTTTTTCTAATTAAAAGGATCTGAAAAAAATCTTGAAGTGTGACTATACCTATGCACACTTTCTATTTACTTGAGAGTTATATTTTCCTGGCAATTACTTATATACATTTTGCAGTGGCTATTTTCTTATATTTCTGTACAGGTTTCTAAAATGATAAAACTTAGATGCTATTTTGTTACATGTTGACATACTTCTTAAAATGAAATTCAACAACACCACTTAACATTTTAAAAAAGACATCAGTTTCTATTTTTATCTGTTAATTGCCCTGTAATACAGATTCATAATACCCTCAATAACAATTTTACAGCAATTGCATTTCAAGCAATCTAAAATGGTAAAGTCCCAAATGTATTTTATTTATACATTAATGTATAAATATGAAAAAATTTCATATTTAACAAAATTTAGAATCAAAGTAATATCAAATTGGGTGTTAGTGTCTTTTGAGTTAGTCCATTAAAAGAATCTCTCCATATAAAGTATAATCAACTAATCTCCGATTTAAGAATATTTTTAAAAAATGTTTTCCAAGAATACAAGATAAATTCTTTGTGTGTTCTATTGTGTGATTCCACATGTACCTCTGGAGTGATGAAACAAGGCAACCTTCATCACTTTTTGGGACAAAAAACAAAATCTTGAAAAAAGTTACCTACAATTTGAAAAGCTGTCTACTCCCTTTTTCAAGACAAGGTATATTATCCAAAGAATTTTAACAGGCTAATTTAGCATCCTTTTATTATCAATATATAATTTGCTTTTACTATCATTGATAAAATCCAGAGTTTTACCTATTGGATGAAAGGAAAGCAAGTTTTTTTTAATTCAAAGATGCTCCAAAAGGAGTTGCATCTGGAAATGAAAGGGCTGGATAGGTGACCATTTAATGATAATGGCAACATTTACTGTTATGAATGGATAGGACTGCTGGTTTCAACTAATTTGGCAGGTTTCAACAAAACAGGTGCACATAAATGTAGCACCCTTAGAAATTTGTGAGAATTTTTTTTTTTATTTAGGAGACTAATAATGATTCTGGATGCATAAACGTAACCAATAAAGATTTTTCTTTCAAAAGTCTTTTTCCCGTGACTCAACTTCCAAGCAACTCTACCTGGATGATTGAGAATCTTCATTGATACAATCACCAGATGTTCAAAAGAAAAAAAAATCCACAAATCCTTCTAGCAGCAGATAAGATACAAGGCAAACATTTAATAGGTTTTCACTTTGTTTAGTAAGAGAAATTTGTTTCTTTTTGATATTTTTAACTATGATTAATCCTAAAGAAAATAGCTCCTCATTCCAAAATTTTCTATATTTCAGGAAAATGTGACCAAAGTAGGTGGAATCTCTTCATAGGCTAAAACAGCTACAACTTCTTTTCTTTAAGGCTAATATATACAATATATATTCCTAATGTGTCTCTGACTAATTATTATTTGGAGAACCAGTTTGGTATAATGGTTAAGGCACTTGGCTACATACCAGGAGACCATGAGTTCCAGTCCTGCCTCAGGCACAAAAGCCAGCTGGTGTCTTTAGGGCCAGTAACCCACCTCACGATTGTTGTTATGGGGGATGGGGATGGGGATGGGGATGGGGGAGGAAGAAAGAAGGAATGTTATTATTTTATTATTATTATTATTATTTATATGCCGCCCTTCTCCGGAGACTCAGGGCGGCTTACAATGCGTTAAGCAATTAAGCAATGTTAGATGTTCTCTGCCTTAAGTTATTTATACAAATAATAAAGGTGGGATATAAATGAATAAAATTCTGACAATAGTCTGAAAATTCCAATAAACCAAATACTTCCAAGCTAATATCCTAACTGTTCCTCTAAACTTACTAAAAATTCTATTGCATACACATATTATCAAGCTTCCACTGTTGAAATATCTTTTTTGCTGGCTTATGCATCCAGAACAGAAATAATTAAGTACAAGGTAACTAATCAAGCTACACGTCCAGGTATCCCTGGCCAACTGCTCTTTCAGAGAATCCCTACGTAAAGGCGACATAATCTTCATATGGGGCAGTCTTTCTGCAAACATAAATGCCGCATCCAACCGTGCACACACACGCCGCAATATCTGAAGTGTTTTCTTAGCTGGGGAAAAGATGGTTTCTAATATTCCACCCTGGAAATGTTGCTATTCCTTGTGATTCCACCTCAAGACTCTGCAATGTAGGCAACGTCCACGGGGCAAGAAACAAATGAGTTCTGTATTGGCAATATTGTGGCTGCAACTGGTTCTGCTGCCTTCCTATGGGAGCTGCCCTTTGAATTCTTCGGAGCTTCAGATCTCCTCCGCTGAAAAGACTTGAGCAAACAAACGCCCCAAGCAAGCAAGCGCACGCAGGGAACAACCTACCCATTCACCCGGAAATACTTTTCTCTATGTCCCCTGAAGCCGGGAGGGACTTGAGCAGTTTGCGTAATGCTAGCGTCAGAGGGCGAACATTAAGAGGGACAAACGTAGAGATAATAGATTAACAACCATTCCACACCGGAACCACTATTAAGTCGATTATGACCCCCTCATTTTCTATTCCGGCTATGGGCACAGTAACGTCGTCATTCATTCACGAAGAAGCCATTGAAGCAGTTCAGGTTTTTTTTTTTTTAATTTGGCAACTTGAAAATGCGTGGACTTCAACTCCCAGAATTTCCCCAGGCAGTAGCTGACTGGTGGATTCTGGGAATTGAAGTCCTCACGTCTTCAAGTCGCCAAGTTCATAAGTTCTGAGCTAGGCGATCTTTTTTGCCATTTGAAGAGTATCTATTCTACGCCATTCATTTAGGCTGCCAGTAATTCTAAATCTAAAAGGTTTCCAATTCATAAAAATTGGGACGGATGCATTTGGCAACAGCTGTCAAAGGGGAACACAATAGAACAGCCCAGTTACGCTCACTACTGCATTTTTAGATTCGAGACTAGATACGGTCCCACATACTTTCGAATAGAGCAGCTTCGTCTTGTTGCAAAATTTTTCTTTGTTCTCCGTGGGCAAACGACTGGCACTAAAACACCCTGTATTTAAAGTCTGGGATTTCGAAGTGTCCGATATACAATTTAGAGCCTAGGCTGAATGAAGTTCCTCTAATGACGGTTTCCCTTGCGGGATGCAGCAATTATGGGCATTGCACAACTGTTCCTGGGTTTCGTTTACGAACTTTATCTGATTTAAGCAAAAGAGAGAATGGGAAGATTACTAAACAGCATGACGACAAAATCCTTTCCCCCTAAAACTTTTGTGCATTACCAAACTGGAAATCGGAAAAAAACAGCAGATATCCTTTCTGTTTCAGATAATTTTTTCTCAAATCATCAAATTATGGACAATTCACAACAATCAAACATCTAACAGTTTTTGATAGTGTGGCTCTAAGGCACTGATATTTTTTTAATGTTATTTATTTATTATGTTATTTAACATACATTTATATTTTCTTGACCATCTGAAACTATAGAGAAGTCATAGAACACAATAGCCTGAATGAAGAAACTGGTAAAAATCAGAGTTCAGATTTATTTATTGTACTTACTTGCATTAAAATGTGGATTCAAGGGAGATAATATAAAGCCACCTATTTTTTATATTAGATCTGTCTAGAAACAAATTATTGAAAAATCTCTATTTGCATAGAACGAAAAATAACAATGAATTCAACTATTTCCTATACCCCAATTCAAAAATATGGATCTGAAACATAAATCCTAAGGATGGGATTGAAGCAGCGATTTTAATAGATTATCAGGATGCATCTAAAAATATAAAATCATAGACATTGAATGAGTCTCACTTTTTTTTCCTTTGGAACCTACTGTTGGGTCACAGGTGACATCTGTCTATATGCTGTGGTTTAGGTGGAATCTGAAGAAATCAAGAGAATCCATGCTTTGGATCCATATATTTACATCATCATAGCTCCAAACCAATTGATTATATGAATGTCCAATAATAATTTATTCTCTATAAAACATCTTATATGATGTTAGATAAGAGTTTCAGCTGAATACTATGTAAAAATCATGAAGATCCATATTGACCTTCCTTTTGGTCCGGATCCAATTAAAGCCTCTTTTGGAAGAAGCAAGGATCATACTATTGCAACAAAAGTCCCAGCCTCCTGATGTTCAGTTCAGAAACTTATTTTTGGATTTTGATGGAGTTCACTTCCCAATTGATTCAAATAGAATGGCTCAAATTCAAATTCATGGCTCACTCTATTGTCTAGATTTAAGAGAGAAACTTATTGTAATTAGTATTGTATTGTAATTTCTTTTAGGCTCTAATACAGTTGAAGAAAGGCTGCAAAAATTATATTCTCCCACTACTCTGGTTTTGGGGACAGAAAATAGTTTGGGGAGGAACCAAATTTTTTTGTCATCCCACTTATGGTGCCTGTGATCCCAATCAAACTACTTTTGAATTAAAAATAATGAAGTCTGAGATTCTACTTATAATGACCACTCCTGTACACGCAACACCTCTTGGTTCCTTGAGTCATCTATAACTAAGTGTTGTTTATCCATAGTTTGCACTGGGCAGAGTCAAATAGGTTATGAAAATATGTACATAATGCGAGTTTGAATAGTAGATCTTCTGGTGACTTGATTTTCCTTCTTCCACCTTCAAAAGGTTGAGTGGGTAGAATATGTGAGCTCAGATCTCCTGTTTCCAGACCTTGTGCTGATAGACATATCTGATTATGGTCATTCTTATTGCATGTCCTTGCTCCTGCTTTTGGCTGTTTAGGAAAACTAAACATTGAGTCTTCAATTTGTGTATAAAATGTATAGGTAACTAGTTTGTAGAACTAAAAAGATAAGTATTCTGTTTCTGTTGTATACTCCAAAATGGTATTTGTTAGGAAAAAAAGAGTATCAATCTTCTGTCTCTGGACTTGCAAAGTTATCTTTCTGCTTTACCAATTGATGGAGTGGAGTTGAATTTTTTCAAAACTATTCCTTTATGAGAAAATATTTTCTTTAGTGCCAATGTCAATACTGTATCCTTGGGCTACTATATATTAAAGGTGCTTTTATCATTATATATGGACAAAATACTGCTTATTGAAAAACTTAATAGAGCTTGAAACAAGTATAAGCTTGTTTAGTTGGAAGCAGTTTCATCAATAGCTTTATTTGCAACATAATCCTATGCATTTTGACATATTGACAAAAATACACTTGCAATGTTAGACTGGGTGAGAAAAATCCAGATGGCAATCGGTGGCAGCAAAGAGGTAGAATGTTCTGTGTCTCTGTTGCTATCCAGCGGTTATCTGGATTTATGCAGCCCATGTATTATTGCCTTACCATGTAGAGAAGGTTTGTTTTATCATTTACTAAATTAAACAAAAATACATTGAATCAACAATTACACAGCAAATTGACATAAACATCTTGTGCAACCGAACATACCAATATATATAGGTCAGCTATTTTTGATAGCCCCAGTATATTAAAATAGTGTAATAATTCCTGAGAAATTTGCAAGGCAGTCTAATTGTCCAGTTAGATAGAATAATGAAAGTCTTTTTTTTTTTTTTACACAAATGGGGATATATAATCCAGCATTTTCAGTGATTTATTATGTAAGTGCTAGATTGTCACACTTAAAAGAGTTTTAATGTCATTGTTCTGACATGCATTTAAATATTAAATTGTTCATATTGTCTAGTTAGGAGAATTTCTCTTCCAAATGCAGAAAGTTGTTTTCTCTTTTTACGTAGAAAAGGAGGCATCACTTTTTTTTAAAGAAAGTGATTCAAAATCTTGTCCATGTTTATCTCTTACTATTATCTCTTATTTGAAAGTTTTCTCCTATCACTGAATGCCAACTGTTTAATCTCTGTGATTGTTTGCTTCCTGAAGAAGTCATCATTTTATGCTTCAGAAGTTTTTTTTCTGACAATTATTATGATACATTCAGTTTCAAACTTTAACAGTTCAATCTTTTTGTTAACAAATGGAATGAGAATTTGAGTAAGGGATATTTATTTTTATTTTGTGATTACATTTTTTATCCCTTTATATTGATAAGTAAGGTGCTAAACATTCATAATACTCCTTCCTTCTCCTATTTTCCCCATAACAACCACCATGTAAGGTGGGTATATGCTATTGATTTTAAGATTTTTTTTTGTATTCATTCAACGAATAAGAACATTTTGTAAATACTACACATCATACAGCCTCATGCCAAGAACTTTAGCCTTGAACAATTTAATTGCTACAGGGACGAAGTTGTTCCCCCATATCTTTTACACCACAGTTGGTATCGCCTATGCCGGGCTGTGTGCGGAACCTTGCTAGTTATGAATGGACAGAATAGAATTTCACTTGCATGTAATTTGGGAACTTAAAGAAAATGTTTTAAAAATAGATGACTTACACAAATGTAAGGTGAAAGAGTGTTTACTGTTCTGTCATCTTGGTAAATCTGCTGAATGTACAGATTAATGCAAATTCTTAGCTCTGATATTTTTAAGTAGAAAAGTACAGTTTCTATCAAAATTCTTACTGAAAGCAGAATTTACAATTTTAATAGTGTTTGTGCTTCTGAATTTTGGCAAAACCTTTAACTGATCAACTCATTTTCCTGCTGTCTTTAACACAACAGATGTCTAAGCACTATTTCTACAGCTATACTGTTTTAAAAATAAAAAATGATTAGTTCACAAATTTCTTCATGTTTTAGAAGAAATCTTATACGTCAGATCAGATATAGTTTCACAATATTATGTTTGATGTAGTGACAGAATTCCTCCTGGAAACCAAATCACAGTTCTGCAAATATGCATTGAACTACTTGGGAGAAAAAGAAAATAAATAAAGACGAAAAAAAACCTGTACTGATTCTCAACATTTCCCTACTATATGCCTAGAAGTTGAGTCATGGCAAATAGACTTCTTTTTTTGTTTGTTTGTTTGAAATGTTTCACTGCTTATCCAAGTAGTTTCTTCAATATTCTTCTTCCCTAATATATGTGATTCTTAAAACAAACCTACTCTTTCTACCAAACCTAATTGATATATCCATCTTTTCCAAAAACATGACTGTCGGATATAACCATCTTCTTATAACTGAAGTCTGAATAACCAATTTTGAAAATAAGATGCTTACAAAGTCATTTTTAAAAATATGGTTTGACATTTTAGAAAGCTAGATATTAATACATAATTAAATAAAAAAACATCACTTACTCTAAAACCAGCAAGAGATTTATTTTCTATTTTGTGTTAAAATCACATGCATAATTATAGAATATTTTATCATTAAAAAAATACTTTACAAAAATGACAGTTTACCTGCAACTGCTATAAAATTTCTTGAAATATATATAAAAAGTTGCTTTCAATAAAATAATAATAAAGCAACTATTTTTAAAAAAAGGCTGTTATCCATATTTTTACTGATGCTCTGCATCGGAAAATAATGCATTGATATACTGATTAAATGGTCAACCTAACAGTTAGTTTAAAAGAAGTTGGATCCACTGCATATGGAATTGAAAATAATGCATAAAATAAAGATATGAGTAAAACCCACTACATATCTGCAGATGATGGCACTGCAAAACATCTGAGAAGCCACTGTGCCAGATTACAATTGGTGGATGCTATGTTTTGCTTTCAAATTTCCCATAAAGCTGGATCACAGCATTTTTTTTTGTAGATTATGTATGATCACTGATGGTAATTCATAATTCATACTTTTACTGATCAGTAGGGTTTAGGGAATATGAATCATTTAATTTCAACTCCCAGTCAGTTTACATAACAATTAAAATAATTAGCTTTATGTATTTTGGTCACTGTTGTCACTCTGGAATATTGCCCCATAAGGATCACTGTTGATGCGTTTATACACAAAATGGAAGACCTGAGGCTGTGGCCGACTGTGCAGTTCAGCTTTGATTTTTTGGGGATAGGTATCTTCTGTCAGTTGCTGCCAAGTGTCATCAATAAAAAGAAACAGGCTAAAGTTCTCAGGATTATCCACTTTAAACTTCTCAGCACAGAGCTGACACACATCTTCTGTAGTAATATATGGCCTCACTAGCAATGTTTTTCCTGTGCAGCCACTGTTGATTTCCTGGAATGCAACTCGTAGATAGTTCTGGGGAGGGGGAAAATATATTGAAAAAATTAAAATGTACAATCGGTAGCAAAGCATTCAATTCTACATTTTGCACCAGTATAAATAAAGTAATCATTATCATCATCATCGTACTCAAAACAGGAAGGTATTATTCAGAGTGGTGTTGCATAATATTAATATGCAAATGGGTATTGCAAAGACTCTGAGGGAACATATAATGGGTTCAGAGAAAAAAAGGAGGAAGGAAGGAGTTGATAAAGAAGGGAGGAAAGAAATGCAAAGTAGGCATGCTGGAATACAATTTGTCCTTGTAATACAGATAATCCTCACTTAACAGCCCTAACTGGGACTGAAATTTCCATCACTGAGCATTGCGGTCAATAAGAGAAATATCACATGATCTCACTGCTTAGTAGTACTTAGCAGTTTTGGTAGTCCTAGTTGCAGTCATTAGGCCAAGATTTAGGAAAAGACCACATGCATCTCCTGTATGTTTTTTGTTAGTTGAGTGAAATCTTTCTCCCCGTTTTTAATTCTAAATGCAACTGATACATTGCATTTGACTTTTTCAAAGGAAGGGTTGCTTAACTAACATCAGCCAGGGGACATCATCTGTACGGTGCTATGCACTCTATAACACCAGTCTTCTATCTTGTACAAAACAGAAAAATCACTTTCTGGAAAACATAAATGATACCTGAAAATCATCAACAGATGGGATTGTTCTGTTTGTTGTTCTCCGCTTATGCCACTGCCTGAGAGTATTTCTGGCCTCTGAACACAACAATCTGGCTGCTTGCTCTTCTTGGAAATTCTTAATTAAGGACAGCGCTCCATATGCACTTGTCAAATAGTAGCCTCCTGTGAAAATTACAAGGAGAGAAATAATTTAATGAGTTGGTTATATGTGGAGGAATAAATCAAAACCATATCCATAATTTCCATGAAATATTAATTTGGAAGAAACTCAAAATAGTTTGGCAGTTATTTGGAAACCTGTCAGAGTCCTTAGATTTCTCAGAAATTTGTTAGGGATTCTTAGTGAGGAGATCAAGTCTTTAAAGGCTATTTAACTATCATGTTTTCCATTATAGCACAGCACTGTAAAAAATAATAGTATATTATTCATTTAAACTCTAGTGAGGTTCAAACGATCTGGTTGAAATGTCATGAATACCGAAGATACATGTTTACATTTTGAGAATATTCTATAGAGGAGAGAAGTTCTGCAGCAGAAATGCTTATACAGCAAAAAGGAAGCTTCAAAATAGTTATGCCAATGGCGAATTACAACTTTTCTGTTCCTTTAGTTTCTATCTTCATCTATTGTTAACCTTGCACAAATATAATAGGTAAATCAGAAGCTTTACATTATCACCTAAAAGCAGAGATGAGTAAATTGGGAATCTATGACCCACATAAAGTCTCTGGCAGAGTGTGGTGGGACCTTGCTTTTCAAGAAATTGATCAGTTTCAATTTCACTAGGAGTAAAATCAGATTGATCTAGTGATTAAAATGCTGGACTAGGAATGGTGGAACTTGAGCTCTACGTCTCACCTTCAGCATGAAAGGTAGCTGGGTAACTTTGGGACAGTCACTCCCTCTAAGCTCTAGGAGGAAGGCAACGGCGCTTCTCAAACTGCTGTCTAGAAAACTGAATGGATTTGTCTAAGGCAGTAGCATTTTTTAAAGACTGATTCAAAACCAAAAAGAAAAAAAAAGAAAGGGGGGGGAGGAGTAAAGAAGATTCAGTCTTTTCTTTCTAATGAAAAAGGTTAAAAATCACTACAAATCAATTGTCCATGGGAACAAAACTTAATAATCTGTGGGAGAGAGAGAGAGGATGTATGTGTGCAAAGGTACTATATCCATGTGCATACTGTATATGTGCTATTGTATGCAATCACACATACATTTGTGTCCAGCTGAAGGTGGGGAATATCCTCAGGAATTATCACGTGACTGGAGTTTTGAGACATTTCTTTCAGCCCCTCTAAGCTCTTTCACTAGAAAGGGAATTATGCCCGCCTCTCCTCAGCCACCAAAGTTTTGGGAAACAGAAAGCCTGATGTTCTTTGGTGGCCTAGCAAATATCAGCATCCAGCCTCTTGGCAAGCAGCTGACTTGAAGTTGTTTTTGTTTTCTCTTGGAAAGGGAAGTTTCTGGTCCAGATTTAACTGCTTCGGCATTCTTTTGTTTTCATCTGTCTTGGGACTGGAGGGAAAGAGTCTCTGGAATGTTTTTCTCTGTTCCAGACTCATGCTGGATCAAATCACTGAAAGTGTAGAAATCTAAAGAAATAGTTCTTTAGAATTAAAGACATACTCTAGGCCCTATTTAAAATGCAAATATCTTCTGAAAATGCTTGCAATCACTTTGAATGCTACTTACTCCCAATAGAAGAGTCAACAGATACTTATAGGGAACAGACAAATTTATATGTTTTTCTCCAGAGGTTATGCACATGCTAAAACAAATACGGTTTTGACTACATTAATACAGACTAGAGAGAGATACTACTCATGTTTCTTTCTCACAACATGCTTTTTCTGATAAAATCATTGACCTATATATCTAAAGGGTAATATACAAAAAGCTGAAAACACACTAAAAGAAGTACCTAATTGCCTCACTATTGCATGACACTAATGCAATGCACTGATTCAAAGATCCAGCTATGAATGAGATCATCCTAAATTAAAAACCTCTCTCTGCCATTTCTCTCAGCCCTCCTTTTCCCTTTAAAGCAGTTGTATCTTTACCTGAGATCAGGGAACTCCAAATCAAATATTAAATCAATAGAATCTGCATGCAGGATGGGAGAAAATCTCTGCACAGGGCCAGTTGTGCTAATATGCAAAAATCCACTCAGGGAATACAATAATGCCTGTGGCAGGGCTACAAGAACATGAATGCAGCACATTGTTGGGGAGGCATAATTTAGGACATTTGTGTGTTCTGCCTGGAGTCCAGATGCATTGGGAAGGGTACAAAGAATCTCTGCATGGGATATGAAAAATTGGCTCAGATTACTTGTGGGACTACCTCTCCCAAGGATATCTGCTCATCCCACTAGATTAGATAGGGTGAGTATGTTCCAATTCCCCATTTCAATGTTACAATTTAATGGGACCTTGGAGGCATGCCTTCTCAGTGGCTGCCCTAGGCCTTTGGAACCAGTCTCCCACCAGAAATCAGTGGGACCCCTACTTTTTTAGACTTTGGGAGATCTAGGAAGACCTAGATTTCCCCCAAGCATTGGCATAGAATGGGGGCTTGAGTTGTGCGAAGGTTTGGTCTAGCTCTGGGGGCAGAGAAGGAGGGGGAGAAAGTATGTTTTAAATTATATTTTATGGATTGTTAAGAGCTATCTAAGGTCATTTATGCGATAGGTGGCCATATAAGTCCTGTTAATAAATAGAAGTCTTGAAAAAATAAAGAATAAAGAATTGAGAAAAAAAGAATAACAAGGAATACTTCCTTAATGAATGCATTTTCATATCACTCCTGCTTATTTTGAGTATGAAACTTTCAGGGTTATGTTGAACAAGCCTGAGGTTTCTAATGCAAACTTTTGATTAGTGAAAGACAAATACTAGTGGACTTTCTTCAGTGCTTTTTATCAATGTCTATGCCAGGGTTGTCAAACTCAAGGCCCGTGGGACAGATCCAGCCCGTGGGAAGCTTAGATCTGGCCTGCAGGCTGGCACTGGAAATAGTGAAGGACTGGCCCATGGTGTTTCTGTCAGCGAAAACGGAGCTCAGGAGGGCCATATGCAGCCCACCTAGGCTCTGTTTTACGCTGCAACAGCCTCCTGCAGCCCTTTGCCAATGAAAATGGAGTTCAGGGAGGCTGCATGTGAGCTACTCGGGCTCCGTTTTCAGCCACGACAGCCTCCTGCCAGTGAAAATGGAGCCAGGCAGGCCAAGCGTGGACTCTCTGAGCTCCGTTTTCACTGGCAAAGGGCTGCAGGTGGCCGTCGTGGCCAAAAATGGAACCTTGATGAGTGATGTCAAGCTGGCCACATCCACCCTGAACACACCCACGGCCTCTCTCTCTCTCCCTCTCTCTCTCTCTCTCTCTCTCTCTCTCTCTCTCTCTCTCACACACACACACACACACACACACACACACACACACACACTGAGCCTCCCAAGATCAAACACAACCCCGATGAGGCCCTCAATGAAATTGAGTTTGACACCCCTGGTCTACGCCATCTAACCATGGCAACTGCTGGTAGCCAGACTCCTCTGTAGACTTTCCTGGCTCTCAAAATGGAAATACAAATCTGAAGTAATCCACTTCTATAATGCAGAAAGATAATTTTTAATTGACACTCAAAAACATAAATATGAAAACCCCCTTTTCCATATTAGTGGAACGCAGTAAGAGAGACTTTCAGATATCTCTTGGATATCACAAGAGATATACCATAGCTTGTTTGTTTTGTTGTGAGGATAGTCACATTGAATCAGAGTTTTTGTTCAAGCAATGCATGTTAACATACTGTAGCTATTATAATCTAAATTAACAGGCTAAGAGATTTTCCAGTTTCCAAATATACACATACAGACACATAGACACACACTTCATTGATTAAAAAATGCCCTCCTTTTACTTCTGGGAAAAATACTTTTAATTTCATTTGGTTTGGTTATCTCTTTGTTTTGTTTTGTAGGACTTTTTTGATAAGCAGTTGGTAACAAGTTAGAAGCCTTGGCATACTTTTCAAGCTTCCCTATTCAGACATACTATCAGTAATCACATTCCTGGGAGAAAAGTCATCATCCTTAAAAGTTTCAAGGACATTACCTTCTCCATGCAGCAAGGATGGGTCCAGCAGTTCCATCATGTACTCAATTTCAGCATCTAACTCCAGCATGTCACACTGAGCCACAACATAGGTCAGCACTGGCAAAAAGTCATCAGCCCCATACATTCTCCCTAGGGAAAGGATAGGAAATGTAGAGAGGCAGAACACAAACAATAGCAGAATTAATTGCCAGATCTTTTTGCTGTTCTCCATTTGTAAAAGCTGTGCTCTCCACTTTCATTTTTATCTATAACAAACATCAGATACCTATTGTCACTGAATATAGCCTGAGGTTTATAGGAACTCATAGAGCTTTTGGATTCAGCCTTAACTTTCCTTATAGAGGAGGAATTTATTCTGATATCATTTAGATGCTCTCAATAGTCGTGTCTCAAAAGAGTTCCTTAAGGAATGGAAGCAGGATGTAATACAGAACAAATAGCTCAGAAATTTAAGCCAATTATCTCTTGTTCACATATTGAAACACTTCATGAATCAAACCACTTGTGTAATAGTCCATACAAATTTGACAACTTGATATTGTAAGGCTCCTGATTAGCTTCATAACCTTCTATTAACTAATTTCAGAAGTTGGCTCATCGTACATCTTCATGTTATTGGAGATGTACGAAAGTAGATTTGAAAATCACCAATTCATGATTCTAATGCTGATAGCAACAGCATTTTTTTTACTTAGGATTTTTTGACTGGTAAAAGAGGAATAGTATCTCTGGAAACATTTGATTTAAAAAAACCATTTTTTATATAAAAGAATCTCATTCAGCCATCCATGTTAGTAAATGTCCTCAAAAGTTTTCAAATAATTGAATTCCACAACGTAATTCTTGCATTATCAGGTTTGGAAGATTATTGTTTACATTGAGCAAAGTGGTCAGTTTGGGACTCATCTGCTGAGATGGAGATCTTATATCACATATGGAGATACCAGAGAATCTAAGCTATTATTAATCATCCAGTATAAAAATAGTTGACTTTTGCATTAAGCATTTTGTAACAGTCTTCAATATATAGTAACACAACAGCAGCAAATTCAATGGTGTATATTGAATGAATGCCTTTTCCAGCAGTGAATATGGAGGTGGGAGTATAACTGCAATTTCCAAAGAAGCATGGAATATTCCATATGTTTATTTTGTTATTTTGACTCTCAAAAAATTATTTTGGTGCTTAAAAACAATGTGAGTTGTCACCAATATGAAGAGCCTTTCTCATACAACAGTGACACACCATTTAAATTCAGACCAATAAGCATCTTTATAATTACCTCTATAAAGTATTCACAAAAGGAAATCTGAAACATGGTTAATGACAACTAAAATTGTTATTTTTCCCCCAACACATTCAACATATCTAGCCCTATTCATACAGAAATCTGATACAGTCTGAATTGCACCAAGATTTGGAAAAAAATATGTCGCCTTACCTCATCTGGAGCCAAGATTTAGACTGCCAAAAATACTACAGCAGTGTATGATACTACAATACATCAGAAATAAATAAAATGTTTTTTTTTCTTGGCAGATGAAATGGTTCTCATTTTACAGAAACATCTCTGAATAACTTAAAACTCTTTGGCCAAATCTAACATTTACCTGAATTATTTTCCATCACAGTGTAAATCAGTTTGCACACTCTTAGTAGCAACATAACTTTTTTTTCAGGAGAGTACATTTTCTGCATTGCCATGAATTTGACTTTAATCTTTTCAACATCTACGAAATCTGGTGTTGGGACGAAAACACCCAGCTCCTGAGGATTTCGCTGCCGCACAAGTTGAAGATTCTCTTTCAACTGCTTCCATGAGCCATCAACTGTATGGAATTCTTTCAACATCATCTCAACATGGTCCTTGAGGGGTTTCAAGATGCATTTATGCATGGCCTTCTCTAATACCACATCTAAAAAAAGATAAACAATCTAAGAACATTACCTGGCAAAGAAGCCGATTTTTGTTTCCCCATAAAAAGAAAAAAAAAAGTAATTACTTCATCCAGGAAAATTGTTTAATTAAATTTTTAAAACAATTTTAATGTTAAAAACACTCTACCAGCTGCTTTCCAACAAGAAAAAATGGCCATTATCATCTTTATTCATGTTAATAGGAAAGACAAAACTGTAAAATAAAAATTTGTTCATTATAAATTTGTCATAAAATGAACAGATTTTCCTGAATCCCAGAACTATAGAAGTTTAACAAATCTGAATATTTTCGTACAACTTGGAGTTGATTCAGAATGAAGCTCTCAAAAGAGAAATCATACTCCTGTTTAATGTACCATTTTCGCTTTTCAAGACAAAACAAAACTACTTCCATTTGGAAGAAAAAAAATTTCCTGGCTGATTTAGTAATATATAAAGATTTAAATCTTCAGCTAAATATATAATTATTGGGAAACTTCTGCATCTAAAGCATGATATTAAAGCTCTATAAATACAACAATCCAGACTTAATATGTTTTGTCAACCTTGCCTTGCAAGCTTGTGAGAAATTCTTAATTACTTTACCATAAAATTATGTGGTTTCTCAGGATCATTTGTGTACCCTACCTTTTTGTTATCTGCAAATTTGATCAGTACTTCCTCCATCCCTTCATCTAACTTATTAATAAAAATGCTGATGAATACAGATCCCAAGAATGAACCTTGTGACAATCCACTCAATACCTCTCTCCAGATTTAATGAGGAATCATTACTGAGCATTTTCTGAAAATTACCTTCAAGCCAGGTAGTCATCCACTTAATTGTCAGGCCATTCAGGCCACATTTAACAACCTTGCTAAATCAGAATACTATGATGTACTATGGAGTACTTGCTTTATTGAAAGTAAGAGATATTATATTTGTACCATCCTAAAATATACTAACAAGTTTAGCAAGACTTGTCCTTCACAGACTTCACTGCTACTAGTTCTTTACTACTACATTGTTTTCAAAATGTTTACAGACTAATCTCTTCAGGATTTTCTTTAAAATCTTCCTGAGTTTGGACTGCTCTGTGATTTCCCAAATCCTCCTTCTTTTTCCCTTTCTGAAGCTAGGGACATTTAATCTCATTCAGATATCCGGGCTGAATGAGGACATATTGGACACAAGATTTAAACTCTAGAGACACAAGATTCACATTCATTTGGACTTAAGAGATATTGCCTGACCACCTATCTATCAATCCAACTGATTAATTCTGCCCTTTGATTTTGCTTGTCATAACATAATACTCAACTGGAAAACTAGATACTCTATAAATGACTGGTCCTTATTTTGGGCTCCAGGAAATACATTCAGTCCATTTTTGAAAACACCTAATTTAAATCATATTCTTAACATTAATTGCTACATTATATCTCCATTATTTTCTTGCTCTCTTCACACACAGAAAATATCCTAAAGTCACTGACAGTTGAGCAGCCAATACATTTGTTATTATTGTGGTTGGTTGCACAATGCAGTCAGCCAGATGTTCAGACTGTCGGAAGAAATATGCCATCTGGGTTCAGTTCCAAGTGGGGAAAAAGACACTGGAAACATGGAGCTGCTTGGAAGGATGGTTTAATGGAGCAGAACCATTAAGCACATGGTCCTGGTGCAGCTGAACACATGGAGTGGAGAGAGATTTATACCCTCTCTTGGGCCTTGCCCTAGAGCTTCCTGTTCCTGTGCAAGAAACGTATCCTATTGGTTGTCAGACTCCCAGGAGGCTATGCAGGGGTCCAGCTAACCTTGTAGGCTGTCTGTGTCCCAGGCTTGGTTGAATTTTGCTGGGTGATGATGTAATGAAGATGCTTATGTTCTGAAAGGGTGTTGGGCAATTCCTATTATGGCTTAATGGTTTAACCATGGCTTAATGGCTTAATGGTTTTGTCCTGGTTTGGATCTTGAGTGAGGGCTAATCCTATCACCCTGGAGCTGAAGGCCTTTTGTCTTGTAGATAAGATGGCCCAGTCTTTCTGGGGCTATTAAAACAAAGGTGGGGGCTGCTTTCCAAGAGCATGTTTCTCCTTTTCTCATCCAGGGAAATATAATATTCTCCCTTTTTAATATTTCCTAAAATATTTCATTCTTCTAGGAGGGGTGTGGGTGCTAACTTTCTACAAGACTTAATTTAGCATTTTTAATCCATATTGTTGCACAGTCAGTCAGTTGTTTAGACTGGATTTGGCATTTTTATTCACCTATCGAGTCCTTTCCAAGGACATGGCATAAGCAGATGTTGATGTTTGATGATGTTAATGGTATTGTCACAGGATATAAGCTGTCCTGAATGAAGTAGCCTTTTGTAATTGACTTATGGTGATTATTTTCAGAGTAATGGATAATTATGCATAAAACCACTAGCATATTTTTTTAAAAATAACCATTTGAAAAGCTGAAAGTGGTGGTGGAGAAAAAATAAACACCAATTATAAATATGAAGTTTTGTTATAAAAGATTCTTAATAAAATGAATTTATATTTCAGGGGGTGGAGAAGAACATTGGTGATAATGCAGGAAACTACAGCTGAGAATATGATACACAAGCTGCAAATCTGGGGGCTGTGTTAGACTGAAAAAAAACTTGGCCTCTCTCTCTCCATTGAAAGACAAAACCAATCAGCAACAAAGTCACTGCCACACACCCACACAAGCATTAACATTGATTTTTTTTTTTCCTGAAAAGGAGGAAATGGTGTAAACATCTTTTATTTTGACAGACTATCCATCCTTTCCTCCCACACTTCTATGTAGAAGGTTCCCAACCAGTTGGAATCTCTGAATAAACTGCAACATTGTTTTCCAGAGACACTATGTATTGTGTATACAGACAGTCAATATTTGTAACCTTGAATGAATATTTGTATACCTCGGCACTAACCAAAAAAGGAGAACTTTTATCAGTTGTCTATAGCTTCACTCCCTCTGAACATTATTTTTCCACAATTCCTAACACTTCATCCCAATGCGAAGTTATCTTTTCTGACTCTCCTTTAGCAAGTGGCGATCTGTGTCCTAATGCACTCAGTACAATATGAAGAGCAGAGATGCGGCAACAACAATGATGCTTATCAATTCAGTTTAAATGAGTAGTTTGAGGGAAAACCTTTTTTGCAGAATTTTTGGTAATTTTACAAAAAGTTACTTGGCAAATGATACATGAAAGGGGCTGGGGGAGAAGTGGGGTGATTCCTTGGTGGCAAGGTTACTGGATAGGACTAGCATTTCACTAGTGTCTGAAGGCAGTTATGTAAAATAGGGACATGTGAAGTTGTTTTATGAGCTACACTACAATTTTTGTAAGTTTCATTCTAAAAATAATTCTTTTCCTGTTCATCCAATTAATCATTATAGGTTGCTCAAGAATTTGTCTCAAACAACTTATGATAATGACATGCCAGTGGTGGGTTCCTCCCGGTTCTGCCGAGCGGTAGTGATGACGATATGACATCACCAAACCGGTTCTGTCCCCCTGCCCCCCTGTGTTAGTCTTACCTTTTATTTGGCCCCACCCCCAATCTATTGCTGCCTCCTGAGTCCCAGCTGATCGGCTAGAAGGAAAAAATCTGTTTAAACTCTTGCTGCAGGGCTTCAAAGGGCCGCCCTACAGCTGATCAGTGTTAAAAGGCAGTGTGGTGATAGACCGCTGTCTCCAAAAACAAATGAGTAGATCAGTGCCTGCAAAAATAAATGGGTAGACCAGTGCCTCCAAAAACAAATGAGAAGACTGGTGCCTCCAAAAACAAATGGGTAGACCGCTGTCTCCAAAAACAAATGAGTAGACCGGTACAGTTCTGCAAGCAGTTAAAAGCCTGGTAGACCAATACCTCTGCTAAATCCTAAAGAATTGTCACATGACCATCAAGCCATGCCCACAAAATAAGCCACGCCCAGAGAACCAGTAATAAAAATTTTTAGAACCCATCCCTGTGACATGCCACTATCAATCTAAAACACATGCACACATAACTGTCTCAAAAAAAATCCACTTTGGTGCTCCTCTTGAAAAGAAAAAAAATCCATGAGGAAATTGACTAAACAAACATTGATAAGGAATTAAACTCCAATTGTCCTGAAGAAAATTTTCTAAAACTACTCCAATGAAAACTCAGTTGCAAATTTTGGTTGAATGTCTTTGGGACAAATTTTGGTTGAAAAATGCAGTAAGAGAAATAAAGCAAAAGAAAAAAAAGGTATAAATTTCTGGAAAAATTAGATAAGCAAAATATTTAAGGGTTGTTGTGGGGCCCTCAGTACTGTATCGTGCTAAAAACACGTAAGTTATTTTCTCATCACTTTAAAAGCAGGGTATCAGCTAAAGAGGTGGTTGAATCATTAAATGACTAAGTCCTGGAAACTGAGAAGTACTTTAAATAACTCCATTAACTTCCATTATTTGCCAGGCACATAATCATGTCTTGAATCAGCTTCTTACAGAGAGGTTTTCTGAAGAGCCAAATTCAGAAGGAGTTACAAGAAATGAAACTTTAGGATATTTAACAAATCAGCCATTTGAACTTAATGATACATATCCAAACAGAGTAAAGAAAAGATGCCCCAACTTCCAGCAGATAACAGCTCTCATTCAACAGTAATATTGCCAATGACTAGCAAAACTGAGTCTCGCAATTATTCTTTTCTTTAACTGCATTAATCTGATTTTAGGGCAGTGGTTCTTAACCTGTGGGTCACGACGCCTTTGGGGGTCGAACAACCCTTTCACAGGGGTTGCCTAAGACAGTGGTCACCAACCGGTGGTCCTTTTGTGGTCCATGGAGAAATTTTCGTATTTTTGCATTTTTGCAGGTGGTGCAATACGGAAAAAGGAGCGCAGCCCTCGCCATCCGGAATGAATGGTGCTGTTGTGGCGGTGGGGGAGAGGGCGGCAGAAGCGGGAAGAAGCGGCGTTTGCGATGGCTGGAAGCTGTG